TGGGCCTCGGGACCCCAACCTAGGCTGGGCCCCCAGAGAAACAGGAAACCGGACTGGGAGCCTCATCGGGGACTTAGCTCCAGCGGAGAGCGGCTTTGTCGATGAGCAAACAGGGGGCGGGGCCTCCATCGCTCTTTAGAGGCCAGATCCGGCGGGAGGCCCTGGCTCCTGCCACCGCCTTGCTCTCGTCCTCTGTGCTCTGGCCATCTCGGCCCTCTCTTCCTCCCGGGAATGAATCCCTTCCTCCCACCGCCAGACCCCCGCCGGGCTGTTCTCTCTGCCAAGCCAAGTCCCATCACCTGTCAGCTGTGGGCTCTGTCATTGTCACTCCCCCTGGATGCTCCCTCCACACCCAAGAGCAGACCCAGGCCTTCTCCTCCACACTCCCCAGGGCTGTGGTTCTCAGCTGACCTGGGCCATTGTTGGGTTAACGTCTTCCTCCCCCGGGACCTTGTCTGTCTCAGTGCCAGGCCTACAGTAGGTGCTCAATTAGCATTAGCTGGATGAATGAAATTCTGAATCCGTTAGTCCTGGCTATAACCACTATCTAGATGTGTGACCTTGGGCAAGTCTCCCCTTCTTCCATTCAGTCAACAAATATTCATTGAGCCTACAGCATTTCCCAAACTTTTGACATAGGTGTACCCCTTTTATAATTTTCGTAACGCTGAGTACCCTTCGTACTCATGAGAACGTAGAATTAGGCGCAGTTAAGCACGGTGCAGTGCATATCCCCTCCAAACTCTGGTGCAACGCGTACCCCACCAAACTCTTCCCGTACCCCTGGGGGGACACTTTGGGAAACACTGTTTGGGAAACACACTTTGGGAAACACTGTTCTACTAGGTATGGAGTCAAACCCAGGTCTGTCTGGCTGCCACCCTGTTCTGCACACACAGCTCTGCCTCTCCTGGGGACGCCAGTGCTGAGATGTTAGAGGCCTGGAGGTGGCAGTCCCCGTCTGAAGTCTCTCCCTCTCCCACTGGTCCCCCAGATGTCATATATGCCAGTCCCCTGGCGCCCCCCACCTCCCTGCCTTCCGGCCTCTGTGTACGAGGAGCCCTCCACCATCTCTGCCAGCACATCCCACTCCCCCTGCAAAATGCCGCTGCAGCTCTCCTCTCACTGCACGGGCTGGCGTGGGAGGCTTCGCTGGCATGTGACCTGAGTTCCTCATGCCAGGGCTCCCCCCGCCGCTCCCCGCCCAGGACTGCCCGGGCCGGGCTGAGTCTGATTCCCTGGACCGGCTCTGTGGATTAATCTTTCTCCAATCAGACGCCGAACATCTGCTCTGCACGCTCCACTGCCCTGCTCGGGGCTGGGCACTCAGGGCCAGTGTCTGCTATTGGGTAGGAGAGTGGGGGCAGAGCACGGGACTGGGGGCTCTGCCTGGATCCCCCAAAGCATGACAGGAGAATGGGATTCGGGTGTGAAGGGCACAGCTTGGGCACTCTCTCCTCTGACCCCTTCACCCACCAGAGGGCCTCTCTCTCCTGTCTGCTGTGGGGCGGGTGGGGCAAGGAGTATGCTGGGGGAAGGTCAGGCAGACCGGTTATGGGCTGAGCTGGGGAAGGACGGCCTGCCCGGGGGAAGACAACCACACATCTTGAGCTGTCTGGGAACCGTCTGCTTCAGCAGAATTCCAAGGACTGGGAAGGTGACTGTGGGCATCCAAGGAGGAGCTGCCCACCCCTGCATGGCCCAGTCTCAGGCCTGTGCTAGGGCTGGGCAGCCAGGCAGGACACCTGGGCTCTGTCTCCACTCTGCTCTCAATTCGCTGTGTGCCCTTGGGCAAACCCCTGTCCCTCTCTGAGCACCAGGCTGGACAACGAGAGACGAGTCCACGTGGACATGACCAGCACGAATGCCAGAGGCCGGGATTGCCAGAACCCCTCCCCCTCCCCCAGGGACACCTCTGAGTCGGTGACTGAGTGGCTCTGGATGGGGCCACTGCCCAGCCTCACCCATCTGTCCCTGTCTTAGGCTGAAGGGGGCACAGTGAGCTCTCTCTCCAGCATCCTCTCTCTCCTCCGTGACCTGTCCCATCCTCTCTTTAGGGGTCCATCTCCCAGTCTCCTCTGCCCCTAGAGCCGCCAGGCTGGCAGCTGGGAGCACTGGCAGCGGTGACGAGCATCCTGCATCTGGTGAGTCAGAGCCCTCCGGCCGAGCCAGACCGAGTCCCTCCACGGAAGGAAGAGAGCAAGGCCACTCTGCCTCCCAGCCCGGGGTTCGCAGCCCAGGACCCGGAGCCTGGCCACGGGCAGACCCGTCTTTCCTCCTCCACACCAGGCAGGCGCACGGCCGGCCCCGCAGGACACTGGACACCTGTGGTGATCGGGGCAGACTGTCCCCTCAGGACCATCCCTCCCCAGCCAGGTCAGGAGGCGGGACTCCGGTGGGGACGGAGCATGGGGGTACCTGAGCACCAGCTAAATACAGTACTGACTCATACGGGCACATAGTAGGTGTTTCATACACATCCATTAAAGGGAGTTTCTTCAGGTTTCCCATGGGTGTGGGAAAGCTTGGTGAGGTCATAAGTCATCATACCTTGTTCAATCACTATTATTTATTTTTAGCCCTACGTTAAGTACATGGTATGTGCCAACCATCTTATATTTTTAAAAATTGATTTCAGAGAGGAAAGAAGAGGGAGAGAGAGAAACATCAATGATGACAGAGAATCATTGACCAGCTGCCTCCTGCATGCCCCCTACTGGGGATTGAGCCCGCAACCCGGGCATGTGCCCTTGACCGGAATTAAACCCAGATGCTTCAGTCCACAGGCGGATGGATGCTCTAGCCACTGAGCCAAACTGGTTAGGGCTGTGCCAATTTTTAAAAATATATATTTTATTGATTTTTCACAGAGAGGAAGGGAAGGGATAGAGAGTTAGAAATATCGATGAGAGAGAAACATCGATCAGCTGCCTCCTGCATACCCCAAACCAGGTATGTGCCTGCAACCAATGTACATGCCCTTGACCGGAATCGAACCTGAAACCTTCAGTCTGCAGACCAATGCTCTATCCACTGAGCCAAACCGGTTTCGGCTGTGCCAATTTTTAAAAATATATATTTTATTGATTTTTTACAGAGAGGAAGGGAGAGGGATAGAGAGTTAGAAACATCGATGAGAGAGAAACATCGATCAGCTGCCTCCTGCACACTCCCCACTGGGGATGTGCCCGCAACTCAGGTACATGCCCTTGACCGGAATCGAACCTGGGACCCTTTAATCCTAAGGCCAATGCTCTATCCAGTGAGCCAAACCGGCTAGGGCTGTGCGAATCTTTTTAAAGCATATTAATCCTTACAGAAATCTGTGAGGGGAGATCTTTGCCCCCAGTTAACAGAAGAAAACACGGAGGCTCAGGGAGGTGAAGCAACTTGCCGAAGGACACACAGCTTGTGCGAGCTGAGTCCACATTCCTACCAGGCCTGCTGACCCCGGTGGCCACGGCCACCCTCCACCGGGACTTTACTGCAGAGAGGGCACCGGGCTGCGGGAAGAGAGAAAGAGCAGGGCCCATCCCCGTCCCGTACCCACTTCCACTCCTGGCAGCCCCACGGGTTCAGATCCTGCCCTGACAGGGTCTTAGCTCCAACCCGTGCCCCTGCCTCCAACCCTATTCATCCTTCAAGCCCTGCAGGCTCCTCACCAGGTTTGGGAAAGAAACCAGCGAACCCGTCTTGCTCACCAGCCTGTGTAAAAGGGACCCATTGCCTGCCCTTCCTGGCACTTGGGTGGGTGCGTGTGGGAGAGAGAGCCGTGGCCACTGAAGAGCTGGGGCCAGGGAGGTCTGCTGAGGGGCTGGGTGTGTGACTGTTTAAAGGTGAGAGTAAGGCCCTGACCGGTGTGGCTCAGTGGATAGAGCGTTTGCCTGTGGACTGGAGGGTCCCAGGTTCGATTCCGATCACATCCCTGGTAAGGGGTGTGCAGGAGGCAGCTGATCAATGTTTCTCTCTCATCCATGTTTCTAACTATCTCTTTCCCCTCCTCTCTAAAAAAATCAATAAAATATATTTTTAAAAGTGTGAGAGTACGGCTGTTCGTATATGGTGTGTGTTAGTGTGTGTGGACATGTGTGTGGCTGTGCAAGCATTCGCATGTGTGAGCCTGTATGTGTGTGGGAGCGTGTCCGTGTGGAGGCATGTGAGGGAGTGGGATTAAACTCACACTGTCGCCCATCAGATAGGGGACCAGGGCTGAGAGCACCCTTGTGCCTGGGTCCTCAGGGTCCTAGCAAAGCCCAGGGAGGCGGGGGCTGCCCCCTCTCGGCCCTGCGGGACTCCCCGTGGAGTGTTGCCACCAGCACCCTGCCCCTCCCACGCCCCCACCTCCAACCTAGCCCGCACCCCTCGCGCTAAGGGGCCTCAGGCCAGGCCTCTGTCTGACTGCGGTGGGTGAGCCTGAGCCCCTTTCTCCCCTGCGGACGGGCCTGTCCCGGAGCTGCGGTCCCTGCGCTCAGTCCGGTCTGACAGCCGGATGGACATGGCTGTGCTCTGTGTCCGGAGGCCGGCGATCCCCGCCCCACGCCCCTCCCTGGCCGTCAGCGGGGTTACCGGGCGGAGCGAGGGGAGGGCCCCTGTGCCCCCGCCCGGGCGCCCCACATTCCCCACCCCACCCCCTCCCGCCCACCCCCGGCCCCAGCCGGCGGCGGCAACAGGTGCGCGGGGCGGGGCGGGAGGGCGGGAGGGAGGGGCGAGCGGCACGGCCCCGCCCCCAACGCGGTGCGGGCGGTGCGGGCGGTGCGGGCGCGGGAGGCGGCGGCGGCGGCGGCGGCGGCGGAGGAGGAGGCGGTGGCGGCGGCGGAGGAGGCGGCGGCGGCGGAGGCTGTGGAGGCGGCGGCGGCGGGACGACCCGGCGGGAGGCGGCGGAGCCCGCAGAGCCCGGCCCCTCCGCGCCGCCCGCGCCGCCTGAGCCCCGGCCGCGGAGACATGAGCGCCCGGCGGCCCGACGCTCCCGAGGCGCAGCGGCCGGGCCCCGCGGCCCCGTGATGGGCTCCTGCGTGTCGCGAGGTGAGCGGCCGCGGCTGAGGGGTTGGGGGTCCGGGCCCCGCGCCCCGGAGGCGGCTCCGGGGAAACATCCCGACCAGCTGCATCCCCATCCCGGCCTTCCGAGCCCCAGGAGATCGCGCCCGCACCCCCGGGGCCGGGGCGTGGGCGGATGGGGTGCAGCACGGAGAGCGCGCAGGGAGGTCCCCGAGCCCCAGCCCCGCTGGACCCACACCCGGCAGGTGGCCGGACGCCGGGCCGCTTTCTTCCCAGCAGCCACACACCCCCTGCCGGTGCCTGGGCGGGGCAGGAGGCTTCTGGTGCTCCCGGCTCTGCTGGAGGGGCTTCGGGGCCGGGGGCACCAAACACCCTCCCTCCCGCCCACCCCCAAGACCCAGGCCCTGCTGACTCAACACCCCTGTCTGCCCCCTTCCCCACGCCCCTGCCCAGGGTCCCTGCACCCCACAGGCATCCAGGGGTGATGGAGGTGAACAGGTTATGGAGGAGGTTCTGTCCTCACCCCCACCTCCAGCCCTGGTCAGGGGACGGGAAGGGACAGAGGCAGCGGATGGAGCCCCTGGGCCTGTCTCTATCTCTGAGCTTTAGGGGCCACCCTGAGCGGGCACCCTGGCTCCCCGCCTGGCCTCGCCCCTGCTACCCGAGGGGCACCAGGAGTGGGCGTGAGCTTCCCTGGAGGGTGGCATGGTGGCCTCTGGAACCCTCCCTGCCACCAGCTTTCCAGCAGCTGCCGGGCAGCCTTCAGGAGAGGTTTACCGGCCGTTTGCCCACCACGGGTCTTCACCAGCAGTGGCAGGGGGCGGGGCTGGGGTGGAGGTGACTGGCCAGACCCACTGACCCCACCCACCGGGCCGTGGGGCTGCCACCCGGGCATCACCCCCAGTAGCCTTTTCAGGTGCAGAGGGGTCAACAGGGCCGGGGAGGGACTGGGCAGGCCCTGGAGGGGGGCCTTGTCCTTGTCTGGGGGACACAACACTCTGCCTTCATCCCGTGGCGTCCAAGGGGCTCTGCTCACCGGCCCACGTGGGGCGTTCAGGTAGGTGGCTCAGGATGTCTCGGGAGGGTGTTGGGCTGGGGTCATGGTGGGGGTTGGGCTGTGTGAGGGTCACTCACTTCATCCTTAAGCTAATACGAGCAGGACACCCACTGTATGCCAGGCACGGTGCACACATGGGCATCCGTTGTCGACAAGCACAGCACTTACAGCCTGGCCAGAGCTGGAAGATGTTTTTTTTTATTTTGAAATTTATTTTTATTGATTTCAGTGAGGAAGGGAGCGGGAGAGAGAGAGAGAAATATCAATGATGAGAGAGAACCATTGATCCGCTGCCTTCTGCACGTCCCACCCTGGGGATTGAGCCCGAAACCCGGGCATGAGCCCCAATCAGGAATCAGCTGTGACCTCCTGGTTTATAGGTCGATGCTCAACCACGGAGCCACGCTGTCCGGCCAGAAGGTGGTGTTAAGAGTGAGTAGTGCTTAGGGTGCTTTTAGGAATGACGGGGTCTCCATGTCTCTCCAGAAACCCCGGCTCTGGGCGGCCTCTGGGGGTTGGGCGACCTGGGATCTGGTGTTTTTCTTGGTGACTGTCCCCTCCCCACCACTTGGCCACCCCAGGCCAGAAGCTGGGGACTTGCTCTGAGCTGCAGACCACCTGAGCACACTTCAGAGGCCAGGGAAGAAGGGACACCTGCCAAGGTCACTCAACACAGCGTCAGGACGGGGCCCAGGTCCTCCCACAGGGGGTGGGGACCCTCAGCCATCGCCCCGGAGACACTGGGTGGCCGAGCCACTGCCTGGAGGCCGTGTACCCTCTACTTGTCACTGATGCCGAGTGCTTACAGCGTACCAAGTACCGGCTGGGATCTTTCAGGCCCAACACACTTTTTAGGGGCACATGCTCCCACTTTACAGATGGGAAAACTGAGCAGAGAGGAGTTGAGTGACAGGCCCAGAGGCTGTGTATAAGAAATAGCAGAGGCATGCCGAAACTGGTGTTGCTCAGTGGATAGAGCGTCAGCCTACGGACTCAAGGGTCCCAGGTTCGATTCAGGTCAAGGGCATGTACGTTGGTTGCGGGCATATCCCCAGTAGGGGGTGTGCAGGAGGCAGCTGATTGATGTTTCTCTCTCATTGATGTTTCTAACTCTCTATCCCTCTCACTTCCTCTCTGTAAAAAAATCAGTAAAATATTTTTTTTTTAAAAAAGAAAAAGAAATAGCAGAGGCAGAGGCAGGACTTGAATCCAGACCGGCTGGCTCCAGAGCCTGGGCTCTTTGCTCTGCACCACACCGCCAGCCCTCCGTCCTGGGCCGGCACCTGCCCTGCTTCCAGGGGCTTCGGTGCCCTAGAGCCTGGTTCCCACGCCTGCGCCAACTGCTCACAGCAGCCTTCCAACTCCAAGTCCTTCCTTAAGCCAGAGGTGCAGCTTGGAGCCAGGCCAGGGATGGGAGCCTCGTGCTCGGACTGCCCCAGTCAAACCCTAAACCCCAGGTACAGGCTGCACCTGGGACAGCCACCCCCCTCAGCACCAGGCAGCAGTGAGAGGTCAGGGGTGCGGATTCCGGGCCGGCCAGCCTAGGTCACACCCCTGCTCCACCGATACTAGCTCTGTGACCTCAGCAGTTACTAACTTGGTATGTGCATTTCAGGGTTCTCATCTTTAACGTGGAATGGTAGCAGTACTGATGTCCTGTGGTTGCTGGGAGAGGATCAAATGGCTTAACTCATGTCAGGCACTGGGACCAGTACCTGGCACATAGTAGGCACTCGTGTTCATGGAAGAAGAAAGGAACTGGGGTGTCTAGAGGGTCCCGGAGAGGAGCCTGTTGGCTCTCTTGGCTGGCATGGAAAGGAACCCCTTCGGCAGCTCTGCGCTGCACCAGCCACTGATAAAGCCACCCCGGTGGCCCCAGTGACCTGTAAATAAGTGTCCTGGGGAATGGGGGACATTCTGTGTACTCGCGGCTGAGCCTCTGCCAGCTTGGAGGATGGCCTGCTGCCACGCAGTGACTCACCAGCGGAGAGGCCGAGGGCTCACCTTGGGTGGCCTCCCTCTGCAGAGCCCCCAAGGGAAACTTCAGCCCTGGGGGCAGGACCAGAGGTGTGGTGATGACCGAGATCTGTTCCTGGTCCAGACAGAGGATGTGAGGTCTGGGGCGGGGGCAGGGGGAAGGGTGTGTGGGGGGAGAGAGCAGGTGTCCTTTGTAGAGTGCGTCCGTGGGCAGTGCCCCATCCTCACTCTTTCCAGAGGAGTCAGTGTTCCCATTTCACAGACGAGAACCCCGAGGCTCACAGAGGCTGTGCCATAAGCCCACGGCCCTGGAGCTGGCGCGGAAGAGCTGGGGTGTAAACCCTGGGCAGGCGCTGTGAAGGAAATGCCTTGCCCACTGTGTTCTCTTCGGAGCCAAGGCCAAAGCCTGGCACAGGGCAGCCGGGCTGTGCACACCTGGGGAGGGGCTGGCTGGAGGGACTGCTCCATGCCTCCGGCTGCCGGGATCCCAAGCAACTCAGAGGGGAAACCAGTGGCTGCCCGGGGAGGGGCTTCCCCAGGGGCTTTGCACACGGGGCCAGTTACTGTGTGGTTTCAAGAAGAGGTTCACCCTCTCTGGGCTGCTGGGAAGGAGCAGGGCTCCCCAGGGGCCCTTCTGCCCTCCCTCGGTGGTGGGGCGGACGGCAGCCGGGATGAGGAATGGGTTGGGACACGGACACAGTGTCAACGAGCAGCCAACGGGGCTGGACGACTCGGAAGCAGGTGTGAGGAGTCCGGGCGGTTACGGTGCGCACTCACCACAGAAACAAGCAGAGAAGCCCAGGCTGGGGCGTTGCGGCGGGAGAGGTTTAGGTCAGCCAGCAGGAGGAACCGGCTGGGTGGTTGGACTCTGAAGCAGACGAAGTGCTGGTGTGGGGAGGCAGGAAGAGTGAGCAGAGGAGACAGCTGCATGACACCCCTCTCCTTGGAGGATCAAAATGGTCCCCTCCACGTTACCATGGAAACCAGAGGCCTGCCGCTTCTATGGCCAGGGGAGGTAGGGGAGGAAGCAGGCCTGAGGAGGGGCCTCAGAGCTGGAGGTCAGGGGACTAGGGTGTGGACTGAGAAAGGAAGGAGGTGTCATTCTCCTCCCCCCCCCCCCCACCGCTCCCTTGGGAGAGAGAGATGCCCACGAGAACTGTGGCTGGGGGCCCCTCAGGCAGAGCCCCAGCCCCCACCCCAACGAGATGCTGTGTTTTTCCAGTTGCCGGTGGTGACGTGGCCGTGGTCCCAGCTGGGCCATGAGCAGCCTGTGATTTCACCCTGGGCTGGTTCATTACCTGATGTCTCCATGGCAACCAGCCTGGGCCCTCATGGGGCCAAAGTCCTCAGGGGGAGATGGCAGCCTTGGCAAGAGGCACCCGCCCCTCGCCTGAGGTGGGGACAGGAAGGCGGGGAGAGGCTGGGGTCGGAGCCCTCCGCGTCACCACCACCTCCCTGACGAATGACCTTGTTCAAGTCTTGTCTCCTCCAGGCCTTGGCCGTCTCCTCCCAGCTTCCTCTGTGCTCAGCCCTCCTGCTCCCGTGTCTGTGGCTCAGGCGATGGCCAGGGGCCTTAGAACTGTCCCGCCCCTTTCAGAGTCCCCGGGCAGCCTGGAGCCAGTGCCACCTTGAACTGCACTTGGCAGCCCGCTCGTGCTCTCTGGAGCCTTAAGCAGGTCACTTCCTAACCTTTGTGACTGGAACCCATAAGAATAGACATATTTTGCATCATGACCTCATACACACACAGGAAGTTCTTACCATATTCAGCCCGGCCCAGCCTCACTGCAGCCCTCCCTCCCAGTTATGCGGACATCCAACGGGGGTGAGGGAGTGGAGGGGAGGGTGAGAAGCTGGCCTCTCCTTTGTTTTTTTGTATGTGTTTTTAAAAAATATATTTTATTGATTTTTTTACAGAGAGGAAGGGGGAGTTAGAAACATGGATGAGAGAGAAACATCAATCAGCTGCCTCCTGCACACCCTCTACAGGGGATGCGCCTGCAACCAACGTACATGCCCTTGATCGGAATCGAACCTGGGACCCTTGAGTCCGCAAGCCGACGCTCTATCCACTGAACCAAACCGGTTAGGGCTCCTTTGTAGTTTTTTTTTTTTTTTTAAAGTATATTTTTATTGATTTCAGAGAGGAAGGGAGAGGGAGAGAGAGAAAGAAAGAGAGAGGACAGAGAGAGAAATATCGATGAGAGAGAATCATTGATCAGCTGCCTCCTGCACACCCCCCATTGGGGGTTGAGCCTGCAACCTGAGCATATGCTCCGATTGGGAATCGAACCGTGACCTCCTGGTTCATAGAGACAGGACACTCAACCACTGAGTCACGCTGGCCGGGCTGGCCTCTCCTCCGCAAGCATCCCAAGTTTCTGCGGGCGTGTGGGAGCCCCTCCCTCGTTTCACAGGCGGCCAGAGTGCGAGGGCGGTGGAGGCAGGGGCAGCGGAGCCTGCGGCGGCGCCCTCGCAGAGGGTGTCTGTGTTCCCCGCCCTCAGCGGCTTCCTTCAGATCGCCAGGCCCTCCTGCCTCTTCGTTATCCGTTTGGGATCCTTGTAGACAGTTTCTCTAGAACAAGCTCCCTCAGCTGCCCATTTCACAGATGAGGAAAACAGCGGCTCAAGGCCCCACAGGTGGAAAAGGGCAGGGCTGGGATTTGAACCGGGCAGTGCAGCACCAGAGCCCCTGCAGCTGTCTCTGGAGCAGGCCCTGGCCCGGGGATCTGGGTGCAGCTGAGACACGGAGGACCGAAACCGGGAAAGGGTGTCTGTCAGGACAGAGGGCCCGGAGCCGGGAAAGGGTGTCTGTCATCCTGCAGGGGGTGACCTCATTCTGAGCCCAAACAAAAGTGCTGGGATCTGCACTTCCGGTCACTGGCGAAGGGCCACTCAGGTGGGGCTGGGGAAGGCATCAATTCTCAGATCATTTCGGCTCCAGTCGCTTGAGGGCAGCCCACCTAGAAGGAGCAACAGGTGTACCCCTTGGAAGCAAAGCACATGGGGTGGGGTGGGGGCAGCTGGAGCACCCACACTATCTCCTAGGCAGGGGAGGGGAACATCCAGCCCACGGTCTGGCCCTAGCAAGGCCTTAGGGGTGAGTTCATTCAATGTTTGACCAAATACGGCAGGCTGGTTTTTAAGTTGGTGATTTTGGATGGCCCTTGAGTTGATGTTACAAATATCCCAGTGACCCTGGACAGAGGAAAGGTCCCCCAGCCGGCGCTAGGCCCACCCCTTCCGCCTGTCCGCACCTGTGCAAGCATCAGAACCACAGCCTCCGGGGCTGCCTGATGCCTCCCAGCCAGGGACACAGCTCCTGGAGGTGGGTTGCTGAGGTGGATTGGGGGCAGGGCGCAGGGAGGGCAGGACTCCGCTGAGATTTCGTCGGTTCAGCTGGGAGGAGGCTGCGTCATTTTCTGAAATTGTGGAGAAAGAGGAACCGGGGTCTGCGGCTCCTGCTTTGCCCTGGTTTGCTTGCGGTGCCGTTGGGCACCCATGCAGGGACCTGGGAGTCCTGTTAGGAACTCAAGCAATCCTGTTAGGAAGTGTAGATGTGGCTCAGCCACACCCCCTGCGCCAGAATGGCCCGGGATGGAGCCGGGGCTGTGGCGGAGCAGGGGAGGACTGAGAGGAGCCACCAGGGAGGTGGAGGGGCCAGGAGGAGGGTGCGGCTCCGAGGGAGGAAGGATGGACTGTGTCCTGGGAGCCCCTAGAGGCCAGTGAGAAGCCACTGCTGAGCTTGGCTGGGGCCACCCGTGGGAAGCTGCTTGGCACGGTGGAGGGAACACGGGAGGCCGGGAAGTGGAGGTGGACACGGTGCTTGGGAGGCGGAGGGCAGGCGCTGGAGGGAAGCCGCTCTAAGGTCTTGAAGGGATGGGAGAGCTTGAGCTGCTAGGATGCAGGGGGCGGCCCGGTGAGGGCCTGGGTGAGGCCCGAGTCCCTGAGCATCAAGCAGGTGCCACACGGGTGGACCAGTTCGATGGAGTGGGAGACACAACCATCCCGGAGAGAGAGCAGAGGCCCGGGGAGAGGGGGATCGGGGACAGGTCTGTCACAGGCGGGAAAGGCAGATGGTGGATGGTGTGAACATCAAGGCAGGCAGGGCTTCCAGATGAAGAGAGAGGGCAATGCTTTTCGAAGGCTCTGGATCTCAGCGAGGAATGGGGGGAAGGACTGGAGTGACAGGACAGAGGACCCCAGCCGGCCACGGAGATGGAGGTGGGTGCCAGGGACGGAGACTGGAGGAGGAAAGGCGGGTGAGGTGATTAGAGACGTGTGGGGGGACCCCGGGGCAGAGTCCCGTCAGAGGAAGAGCAGGCACAGAGCAGGGACAGGAGCAGGGCAGAGGGTTGAGGGTCAAGGGTCAAGGGCATCGTTGACGAAGAGCTCAGAGGCTGTGCAGGAGAGAGGTAGGCCATGGGGGCCGGTGGAAGTTGGTACCTGAATTGGAGGTCTCCTTGCAGCCAAAAGATGCCAGTGTGTGGGCGTAGAATGAGGGGAAATGGAGCCACAAGCGGATGGGCCAGGAATTCCCACCACGGGGACCGGACCGGACTCCGGCTGCCGTGGCTCCGGGTCTGTTTTCTACAAAACGATGACGGTGCTAACAAAGTCACGCCTGCCTCTCAGGGCCGGCCTGGCCGGGCCTCTGGGAGGACACTCCTGTCGCTCTTATTTCCAGATCTCTTCACAGGTGTCCCCAAGGATTGCCCCATGCCCCCGGGCGCAGGCCCCCTGAGCCCACTGCCCGCCAGCTGCCCGCCCGCCTTCATCCCGGACTATGTCACCGGCAAGGTAAACTGGTCACGCGGCACCCCGCCTCCCCCCCCCCCCCCCCCCCGCCTTCCCTGGGTCCCGGGCTGTTCCCCTCCCGGCCACATGTGGCTCCTCGTCCTCTCAGGGGTAAATTTAGAAAATTTCAGGAACTGGACCAGGCTTATTTAGAAAAGAGAGCCCCACCCAAAAGGGCTTCCTACCCCCCCACACTCCCCCATCCCCCCAAACCCCCGATTAGCTCAGCCCTGCAAATAACAAGTTGCATCACCAGACCAGGACCCCTCAGCAGCCCGCACAGGAGAACAGAGGGAGTGGGATTCTTAGATCTCAGGAGGGGCCTCACATCCTGGCGCATCATTTCTGCCCTTGCCCCAGAGGTCATGACCTTGAACCTACCCATGGATCCAATGACCTCTTTGTTGTTTTCTTGGAGCACGTGTCACATGCTAGGCACTGTGCTAGGCGCGGTGTGCCCGTGATCTCACTTCTGCTTCCCCCGAGACCGAGGGGTACATGGCATCGTCCCGTTTAGCAGGTGAAGGAACTGAGGTTCTGAGATGTTATGTCATCAGTCTGAGGATGCCCAGGCTAAGGGGTGGAGCCAGAACTCGAACCCAGGTCTGATCCACCCCCTGCACCAACTGCCTCCCCCCCACCCCCCAACACACAAGCACACTTCTTTCTCTGGGTGCCAGGGGGCAGCAGGGCACGACCCAGGAGCAGGCCGACCCCCCCCCCTCAGGGAGCCAGAAGGTGACCCACATCCCGTCCTGAGCTCTAGGATGCCTGGCACCTGCCGGCACCGTGCCAGGCCCTCCTGGTCCTCTCCCTCCTTTTCTTTCAGGACAAACACATGGATTTCTGTTGGGATCCTTGGCAGGTCAGTGCACTTGCTCCCCCCATCCCCCTCCTCCCATCCCCCTCCCCCCCATCCTCCTCCCCCCCTGCCCAGTCTAGCCATTGCCCTCCTTCCACGGGGCCCAGCGTGGGCATTTGGTTCTGCCAGCCCTGGGGCCGGGGGAGGGGAGGGGAGGGGAGGGCGGTGAAAATGGTGGGGTGGAGGGTCCTGTGGGTGTTGGCAGGATCGCCCTGGCCCTGCCCACGGCTCAGCAGCCTGGGGAGGTGGGTAATGGGGGTGATAGTGGGGGGACTTCTGCCCACCTGCTCCCCTCCCCCACCCTGTGCAGAGATGCTTCCAGACCACCAACGGCTACCTGTCCGACTCCAGATCCTGCTCCAGCAGCTACCACGTGGCAGCCCTGGCCACCTCGTCCCTTGTGGGTAGGCGGCCCTGCCCTCCCTGCCCTGGGAGTTTGCACGCCCACCTGACAGTAGCTGTGTGTATGTGTGTGAGTGTGAGTGTGAGTGTGTGTGAGTGTGTGTGTGTGTGAGTGTGAGTATGTGTGAGTGTGTGTGTGTGTGAGTGTGAGTATGTGTGAGTGTGTGTGTGAGTGTGTGAGTGTGTGTGTGAGTGTGTGTGTGTGAGTGTTTGTGTGAGTGTGTGTGAGTGTGTGTGTGTGTGTGTGTGAGTGTGAGTGTGTGTTAGTGTGTGTGAATGTGTGAGTGTGTGTGAGTGTGTGAGTGTGAGTATGTGTGTGAGTGTGTGTGAGTGTGTGTGAGTGTGTGTGTGTGTTAGTGAGTGTGTGTGTGTGAGTGTTTGTGTGTGAGTGTGTGTGAGTGTGTGTGAGTGTGTGTGTGTGGGTGTGTGTGAGTGTGTGTGTGAGTGTGTGTGAGTGTGTGTGTGTGTGAGTGTTTGTGTGTGAGTGTGTGTTTGCAGAGGGATGGGGAGGGCAAAGCTGAATTGCAGCTGGAAGGATTGTGGCCCCGTGGAGTCACCATTTTCCAAATGCCGGGCTCCGGAGCTGGGTCTGCAGGGAGCGGTGACGGGGTTCTGCCCCCATGGGTGGGGTTGTCGGGGCCTCCAGCAGCCCTGCAGGGACCACCCAGGTTTAGGTGTGTGCCCAGTGTGGCCTCCCAGCGGGCTCTGCAGCGGATGGCATCTGCCTGTCACCCAGATGCGATTGCTGTGGGAGTGGCTTTCGGAGGGACTTGCTCCAGGGCAGCCTGTAGGAGTGAGGGCAGCCGGACAGGGCAGGGGAGGAGCCTGGCAAAGCCTGGTGGCAGGCGTCTCCCCTCCCCCAGCCCCATCCACGGGAGCCCAGAGCATGAATTGCAGCAGAATGTCTGGCACTTAGGCCAGTTGGCTGACTCGGCTGCCCCTGGGGAGGACCCCGCCCCTCGGGCACCTGTGGGTGAGGCAGCTGCCATAGCTAAGGGCGAGTCTCCAGAGAAGGGTGCAGGTGTGCCCATGGGGGTGGGCACGCAGGCCAGGAACGGGGTCTCAGTGGGCCATCCCAGCACCTGCCCTGTCTCCAGCACAGCCTTCTGGGCCATTCTCAGCGCTCTCCTTGCCACCACTCTGCTCAGTGTAGCTTGTGCCAGTCTTTCCTTAGTCCCTCCTCCCTCAGGCCTCCCCGGCTCCCCGGGGCCCTTGCTGCCCTCCTCCCGTCCACCCCCCCCTTCCACACACGTATCAGCCTGTGCTGTTCCCTCCGCCTGAACCCCTTCCCTCCACCTCCCTGCCCTTCAGAGGCCACTCAGACACCTCCTCCCAAAGCCTCCTCCGTGCCAACACACCCCTTCTTTCCCCTCTCTCCTCCCTGTGGTTTTCCTCTCCTTTTCTTTGTGGATACTGTCTTTCTTTTATTTCTTTTTTAATTTTTAATATATTTTCATTGACTTCAGAGGAAGAAAGAGGAAGAGAGACACAGAAACATCAATGATGAGAGAGAACCATTGATCAGCTGCCTCCTGCACGCCCCCTATTGGGGATCAAGCCCACCACTTGGGCAGGTGCCCTTGACCAGAATTGAACCTGGGACCCTTCAGTCCGCAGGCCGATGCTCTATCCACCGAGCCAAACCAGCCAGGGGGATACTGTCTTTCTTAAGTGTTACTGCTCTTTACGTCCTTGCCCTGGAGCCGGTGACTCCCAGATCTCTCCGCCTTGGTTGAAGGATGTGCTGAATCATTCTTGACAACCCTCCCTGTCCGCATCCACATCCATCCATATCCAATGTCTACTAGGAACCCCTCAGCGCCCCCCGACCCCCGCCCCCGTCTGCCCTGCCCTTGTCCCGTCTCCTGCTGGATCCCTTCAGTGGCCCCGAATGTCCCCCTGTCTCCACCCTGGGACCCTCAGCCCATAGTTAGGATGCTCTTCCTCAAGTCCAGTCTAACCCGCTCCCCTCCTGCCCATCGCCCTGCTGTGGCTCCCACTGCTCTCAGGAGGACATCGGCGCCCTCAGCCTGGCTCTGGCCCCGGTCTGGCCCCTGGCAGGCGCCCCAGCCTCTCTGCCACCCCAATCTGGTAACCCTGGAGCCACACCCGACTCCTCCTGGCCTTCATCGTCTCCTCTCTGAGACAGCCTGGATCTATCTCACCCAACCTCCTTCAAAGCCCCGGTCCAGTCCCCCTCTTCCAGGAAGCCTTCCCTGCCTGCTGCGCCCCACACAGGTCTCACCCTGCGAGCTGGCACTGCCCAGGCACAGGGATGCTCTCTCAGAGCTTTATTTGTGGGAAGGGGAGGGCTGGGAGGAGGGCGTCTTGAGTGGATCCTGGAGCAGATCTTGGGCAGAGGGTCTGACCTTGGCTGGAGAGAGAATGAGGGGTGTGGTGAGGCTGGGCAGGAAGCTCCCCGGGGGCAGGAATGCTGGTCGGGAGCAGGGCACCGGGAGGGCGTGGGCAGAGAGGGCACGGCACTGGCTGGGTCTAGGAATCGGGTAGGTACATTGTGGAGGATGGCACTTTGAGGATGCCAAGCATGGGTTGGGTACAGGCATTGGGTGGATGTGAGGTACGTACAGAGCATTGGATGGATATGGGGTACAGGGCATCGGATGAATGTGAGGTACAGGGCATCGGGTGGGTGTGGGGTACGGGGCATCGGATGGATGTGGGGTACAGGGCATTGGATGGGTGTGGGGTACACGGCATTGGGTGGATGTGGGTACAGACATTGGGTGGGTGTGGGGTACAGGCATTGGGTGGATGTGGGTACAGACATTGGGTGGGTGTGGGGTACAGGCATTGGGTGGATGTGGATACAGGACATTGGATGGGTGTGGGGTACAGGGCATTGGGTGGGTATGGGGTACAGGCATTGGGTGGATGTGGGTACAGGGCATTGGGTGGGTGTGGGGTACAGGCATTGGGTGGATGTGGGTACAGACATTGGGTGGGTGTGGGGTACGGGGCATCGGATGGATGTGGGGTACAGGGCATTGGATGGGTGTGGGGTACGCGGCATTGGGTGGGTGTGGGGTACAGGCATTGGGTGGGTGTGGGGTACAGGCATTGGGTGGATGTGGATACAGGGCATTGGGTGGGTGTGGGGTACAGGTATTGGGTGGATGTGGGTACAGGGCATTGGGTGGGTGTGGGTACAGGGCATTGGGTGGGTGTGGGGTATGGGGCATCGGATAGGCCTGCGCTGGGGGGGCAGGGATGCTGGGGCGGGGTCTGAGCGGGGCAGTCACTCGCCGCTCTCCCGGCCCAGGGGTGGTGCAGAGCATCAAGGACCACATCACGAAGCCCACGGCCATGGCGCGTGGCCGCGTGGCCCACCTCATCGAGTGGAAGGGCTGGCGGGCCCCGCGGGCGGGCTGGGAGCTGTCGCCGGCCGAGGACGAGCACTACTGCTGCCTCCCGGACGAGCTGCGCGAGGCCCGCTTCGCTGCCGGTCAGTGGTCAGGGGTCAGGGGTCGGAGGTCAGTGGTCAGGGGGCGGGGTTCAGACCACGCCGGCCAGGGCTCTGGTCCACAGGGGACGCAGCTTCTCCACGGGGCATTGTCTCCAGGGAGAGCAGTGGCCTGGGGTGGCCGGGGCACTCGGTGGGCACTCTGATCACAGGGCCTGCATGGACGGCCCAGCCCCCGCCCCCCTGCTGGCTGTGGGTGCCAGGCCATCCGAGCAGTGCCCCCCCCTCACCTCCCTGCTGTGCCCTCTCTGAGCGGGTCCCACTGTCCCCACAGGGGTCGCTGAGCAGTTCGCCATCACAGAGGCCACCCTGAGCGCCTGGTCCTCGCTGGACGCCGAGGAGCTGCACCCCGAGAACAGCCCCCAGGATGCCATCCAGCTGCAGGGTACCGCCAGCGGGCATGGTGGGGGGGTCGGAGACGGAGGACAGGGGCAGAGCTGGCGCCGCACGCCGCCCTGTCACCAGAACACTGTGACCTCAGATAAGCCTTTCTCCCCTCGGGCTCAGTTTCTTCATCTGAAAAATGGGGTTGGTGATCCTTGCTCTGCCCATAGCCAAGGGGTGCCCTGCCCATGGCCAAGGAGAAAACAGTAGTAATAATAATAATAGTAATAATAATAATAACAATAATAAATAATGTGAATTAAGAGCTTTCTGTGCTGGAACCCAGGGCACTCCTGAGGGCTTCCACAAGCCTGAGTCCTGGGTGAAGCCAACATAACCTGTTATCTCATTAACCCTTCTCTGGCTGGAGGGCGGGAGGCTCAGGGAGAACACCGGTCGTCCCAGTTCTCAGAGCGCAGGACTCAAAGCAGACCCTGCTCCTAACTAGGAGCACTGCCTCAGGGAGAAACGGGCTCAGAGAGGTTCCGTGACTTGCCTGAGGTCACACAGCGTGGCAGTGACAAAGCAGGATTTGGAGGCCGGTCTTCCGCCTCCTGCCCACACTCACACCCCAGGGGAGGCCGAGGAGCGGGTCCCAGACTCTAACCCTCACCCCCACCTCCCGTTGGTTTTCCAGACCTGGACGGCGTCTACCTTCCGGACAGTCTTCTGAGCGGCCCCTCGCAGGACGACAGTCTGCTGGCCTTCTCCTCCCCTGGCCTCTCCCCTGACGGTTGGCCCTCACCCGAGGAGCCCCCCATCACAGCTGCTGTCCCCCAGCCCCCCAGCCCCGAGCAGCAGCACCGGCCCCGGCTGCCCGGGGGCCTGCAGGGCTCCCTCCCCTCGGTGGACAGCGGCTCCCTCTCGGAGGAGGACGAGGTGTTTTATAACTGAGGCCCCAGGACCCCGCCGCCTCGCCTGCGGGCAGCTCGGGCGTCTCAGGACGTGGGGTCAGGCTGGGCCTCTCGACCCTTCGGGGTGGGGAAGCTGGGGGCGAGGCTGGCACTCCCGTGGACCACTTCGTGCCTCCGTGGACCTGCCCGCAGTGGGAGCCATCATCCCTCTCCCCCTTCCGCCCTCCGCGAGCTCACGGACTCAGAGACACCAGGGCAGGCCCCAGGCTGACCACCTCGAAGGGCCCGGGAGACCCACTTGCAGTGGGGCCTGGGGGCCCTGCCTGGTCCCAGCACCGGGCCCTCCCGTCTCCCTCTGTGCTTCTGCCCGTCAGAGGCGAGCAGCCTCTTCTGGTGGCTAAGCACCTGCTCGTAAGCGGTCATCCGAGGACACCCGTCTCCCTGGACTGTCTGTCTGTCTGTCTGTCTGTCGGTGCCCCTGCTCCCCCTCCTTGCAGCCTCAGCCACCTCCCTGGAAGCTCTCTGAAGACATTAAAGTGGCGGATTCACCCCGGATGGACTCGGCCTGGTCTCTGCTGGGGAAACCGTGTCCGTGGGGCTCCTGGGCGAGAGGGTCTAGGGCAGTGGTTCCCGGCCTTCCTAACGCCCCGACCCTTTCATACAGCTCCTCACGTTGTGGCGACCCCCAGCCATAACAGTATTTTTGTTGCGACTTCATAACCGTCATTTTGCTGCTGTTCTGAACGGTAACGTCAATATCTGTGGCATCAGAAAGGTTGAGAACCACAGGTCTAGAGGAACTCGGGGCAGGGCCCCTGCCCCTCACACACATGCAGCTGGTCAGTGTGCTGCCCCCCAGCTGGGAGAGGCCTCACTCACAGGAGAGGCCTGAGGTTCTGCAGAGCCACCCCTGGGGCCTGCGCTGGCCGCCCTGGCTGGGAGGAAGGTAGCTGGGCCCCAGGGTCCCGCTCATACGTGAGGATGAGCAGCCGAAGACCTGGTGAGGGACCCGCTCTCCCCAAACCTCCCTGCCAGGAGGGGGCGTGAGGAGGAGGGGGAGACCAGGACCCAGGCCTGCACTGCCCATGGACCACGAGCAGCCCCGGGAGCTGGCTCAGAGCCAGCACGGCAGGAAGCTGAGGTGCCAGGTGAGTGCCCTGGGAGCAGACACGGGGGATGAGTGGCGGCTCTGGGAAACGGCTTTATTTCTCGCGGGAGCCTCTGGTCGGGAGCTCACCCCAGAGGGGATCTCGGCGACAGTGTACATCCGTCTTGCCCGTCACTGGCGAACTTGGCGGACGAGGGTGAGTGCCCACTGTGTGCTGGTTTTCTGCGGCCTGGCGTTGAGCTTGGTCCACGGTGGGGTTTGTCCTTCATGGCCTGTGGCACGGGTCCCGTCCAGGATGTGGCACGGTGCATACGGAGCCCTCTTAGGAGCCGGTCAGAGCTGCCAGTCCCGCTGAGGAGCTGAGCGGGGCTGAGGGAGAGCGAGCTGGGGGGAAGGGGGGGAAGGAGGGCGGGGCAGGGAGGCAGGAAGCCTGCCCCGTCTGCTTCGCCAGGACACTGGACGCCCGGTTCATCTCGCCAGACTGGCTCACTTTGGGGCCGGTGGGTTTGTCACGTTGGAAATTGCTTTCTTCAACTAAAACAGAGAAGAGGGGTGAAGGATGTACAGGAGGTTGTGAATGGGGGCTCCGGTGTTGTTTGACTCCCCTAAGGGTTGATTCTGGGGTGAGTGTTCGAGTCAGTGCCTCCCCATTGCCCCAATGGGATCACTGAGGCCTAGAGACCGGCAGGGCTGGCCACTGGCCATAAAATAAGGTAGGGGTTGCCGAAACCTGTTTGGCTCAGTGGATAGAGTGTCTGTCTGTGGACTGAAAGGTCCCGGGTTCAATTCCGATCAAGGGCATGTACCTTGGTTGCGGGCACATCCCCTGTGGGGGGTGTGCAGGAGGCAGCTGGTTGATGTCTCTCTTTCATCGATGTTTCTAGCTCTCTATATTTCTCCCTTATCGCTTCTCGGCCTTTTGGCTAAGATCAAGTGTAGTATCTATATCTCTCCCTTCCTCTCTATAAAAAAATTAATAAAAAATATTCTTAAAAAATAAATAAGGTGCCAAGACCGGTTTGGCTCAATGGATAGAGCGTCAGCTTGGGGACTGAAGGGTCCCGGGTTCGATTCTGGTCAAGGGCATGTACCTTGGTTGCGGGCATATCCCCAGTAGGGGGTGTGCAGAGGCAGCTGATCGATGACTCTCATCGATGTTTCTAACTCTCTATCTCCCTTTCTCTCTGTACAAAATCAATAAAAAATATATTTAAAAATAAATTAAATAAATAAATAAGGTAAGGTAGCCAGACCCAGCGGCCACTTTGGGCCAGGAAGTGGGGCTCATCAGAATCCCAGGAGGCCCCTCCACAATTGAATGGGAGGTTATTGGAGCCTTCCGCCTCCCCAGCCTGCTGGAGCGTGGCCCCTCCACTCTGCTCCACCCGGGGGCCCTGGTACCTCCACCCAGGACACGCTGCCCACAGCTCTGCCTCGAGACGTCACGAAGAGGGACTGCAGGTTCAGCAGCTCGAACAGGTTGTGGGCCTGGAGGAGGGGTTGGTGGGAAATCTGGAGGGCAGGTGGCACCCACACCCCCTCTGGCTTCAATGTATCCCTGACCTGAGGCTTTGAGCAGAGATGGAGGAGCGGGACCCATGCCTCCATGTCTCCCACGGGGGAAGGGGTTGAGGGACAAATGTGATGGTGGGTGGAAGACCAAGACCTGAGCCTGCAATGTCAAGCACGACCACCAGGGGTCGCCAGAGTCCGCGCAAGGAACCAATGGGGGAAAAACCTGTTATCCAGCAACAGTGTCACAGAGGGGTTGGGACCACCCTCAAACCCCCAACCGGCTTCTTCCTCTCCCTGGCCCCGTCTTTCCAGGCTCTGTGCTTGTGTGGGGGAGAGGGAGGGTGATTAAATAATTTCCCCAAGATCACGCGGGGAGAATGCAGTGGGTCTGAAATGGAAACCCAAAGACGTAATTGACTCGTCAGCTCTGCCTCTTTCCACCCAGAGGCTTCTATTGTGCAAACCCTCTCGCTTCCCTGTCTCCGCATCATCCCAACAACCCGGGAGAGGGGCTCGGAGAGGCAGGAGCCGCTCTACCCATTCTGCCAATAGGGAGGTGGGCCCAGGAGGGACAGAGCCGCTGTGTGGAGGGAAGGTGGAGCTGAATTTAACCTCTCGCCGGTCTTCCTCTGTACCCCGGTCCTTGTGCCCCTGCCGAACCCTCCCATTACCTCGTGCAGGGAGGTCTCCGGAGTCAGCTGTAGAGTCACGGGCTCCATGGGGCAGCCCCCAGCCAAGATGTCCTGGAGAGACCGCTGGGGACAGGGAAGAGTTTTGGGTGTTCTCCCCCAGGCTGCCCGGCTCAATCCTCCTCCCTCCCCCACACATCAGCTATCCCCTCCACGCCCACCCTGCTGACTCCCCAACTCCCCACCCTGCTGACTCCCCAACTCCCCACCCTGCTGACTCCCCAACTCCCCCAGCACCCCCCTGTGAGTACCACTTGGTGTCCTGGAGCCCAGGAAGGTGGCTCGGCCTGGAGGGCCTGCAGCAAGTGGGCCCTTCGCACGGTGCCCACCAGGATCGGAGACTCTGGACAAGTGGAGAGGGAGAGAGAGAGAAAGAGAAAGGGAGAGAGAGAGAGAGAGAGAGAGAGAGAGAGAGAGAGAGCTGAATTATGGGAAGGAATTTGCATTTCCTGGGCACCTACTATGTGCCAATACTGTGCTAGGTGTTCCTGTGTCCCTCAGGAACCCACAGCAGCCTGTGGGTCAGGAACTATTTTTTAAAAAAATATATTTTATTGATTTTTCACAGAGAGGAAGGGAGAATTATATAGAGAGAGAAACATCGACCCGCTGCCTCTTGCACACCCCCCACTGGGGATGTGCCCGCAACTCAGGTACATGCCCTTGACCGGAATCGAACCTGGGATCTTTCAGTCCGCAGGCCGACGCTCTACCACTGAGCCAAACCCATTTCGGCAGTTGGGAACTATTATCACCCATTTAGTAGAGGAGGAAACGGAGGCTTAGCAGCACGGAGAGGCGGAGAGGCGAGGTCACTCAGCTTCTGACAGGAGGTGTGGTAGCCAAAGGAGGCTAAGGCTGCTGGGGGCCAGGAGGGGGTCTGCTCACCCGAGGCCCCCCAGGTGGCAGGCCTCAAAGCAAAAGCAGCTTTGGGACACCTGTGCTACAGGGCGGGGTTTTGTCCCCTCCTCCCCGCAGGAAGATTCCCATCTGGTTCAGCCCAGTGAAGGCATGCACCAGGGAGCCCTCCAGGTTCTGAGGTCCTACTGTGTGCCAGGGGCTTGGCCGGTCTCAGTCCAGGCTGTCACTGGACTTTGCAGGGACTCGGTTTTGAGGCCACAGCCTGATGTTTTTGCTTCTTACCCAGGAAAGCAAAAACTTTACAACTAGACCTGAATGTGCTTCACTTTTAAGCACATACACTTTAAGCCAGTGGTCAGCAAACCGCGGCTCGCGAGCCACATGCGGCTCCTTGGCCCCTTGAGTGTGGCTCTTCCACAAAATACCACGTGCGGTCGCGCAAGTGCAGTGCGGTCGAAACCCATGCGCAGAAGTCGGTTTTTGGCCTGGAGAAGCGATTCTAATGCCGAGCCGTTTCTTGAGTGAGCAGAAGGGTCCCACCGCCCGGGGCTGCGGGGTGGGGCTTTTGCCTCCTGTGGCTCTGAGGTGGAGTGGACTGTCCGGAGGCCAGTACTGTCTTTGTCCCGGGAGGGGAGGCCTCTCGGAGGGAGTCTCATCTGCACACATGTTCTAGGGGGGCCTGGGCGTGTCCTGTGGGAGAATGGGGGGCTGTCCCAATTCGGGTGGGGAAACCTTGGGCTGTAGCACGGTTTACCCCGGCGCTGCTCACCAGGGGCTGAGGCCTCCCAGGGTGGCCATGGGGCGGCGGGGGCCCGGATGGTTGTGCAGGTTGCTCACTGCGTAAGGGCCCTGCCCAAAGGACAGGTGGGCAAAAGCCCAGCAGGGCCACGCCTGCCAGTGTGCCCCGTGCCTCAGGGCAGAGGGGGCATCACTGACCGTGGCCGAGGGCAGACTTCCCTTCCCACTCGCACTGTACTCGCCCGTGGAGAACGATGCTCCCACCCAGTGGTTGGCAAACTCATTAGTCAGCAGAGCCAAATATCAGCAGGACAACAGTTGAAATGTCTTTGGAGAGCCACATTTTTTAAACTTAAACTTCTTCCAATGCCACTTCTTCAACATAGACTGGCCCAGGCCGTGATATGTTGTGGAAGAGCCACACTCAAGGGGCCAAAGAGCCGCATGTGGCTCGAGAGCCGAGGTTTGCCGACTGTTGGTCTAACCAGAGGCCTCCCCAAGACTCTGGTTTCTGTGTCTTTTAACAGGGGCCCCATTCATTGTTCTTCACAAAGCTGTTTGTCATGGCCTCGGGGCCAGTGGCCAGACTCAGTGGGCGATCTTTGAAGGGGAGGCTGATGACGGAGCCCCATCATTCTATCCCCACGCCCAGCACACAGGCCTGGCCTCTGGAACCCCAGGTCTGCCCTGGAGAGCCTCGTAAGCGCCCTCTCGTCTCTCATGGAAGCACAGAAACCACCCCAGCAGGCTGGTCACACTCCATCTCAACAACGAGGGGGAATCAGGCTCCAGCGCGGAAGTGCTTCTCCCAGAGGCGCCCAGTGACAGAGCTTGGATCCTGAAGGAGGGCCAGGGCCGCCTACCCTCTCCTGGGCCTGCGCCTTCTGAGGGGAGGCAGAGGGAAGGCCCCTCCCCTCCCCCTCCCCCTCCCCTTCCTCCTCCCTCTCCCTCTCCCCCTCCGCCTTCCTGCTGCGCACCTGTGCTCTCCTCCAGGGGGAACTCAGCCTTGTCGGTGGAGGTTATGACCTTGACCACCTCCTCCAGGGGCATGTCCTTGGCCAGCGCAGTGACGCTGCAGTTCATGAAGTGCTCCACGATGACGCGGTGAGAGCTGGAGGCCGAGAGAGGGGTGCTGCCGTCAGGTCCTGGGGTGAGGGCGCCAGGCGGGGAACCCCAGAGGGCGAGTTGCTGGTTCTCCAGGGTGGGCACGACCCAGAGGTTCCCGGAAGGAGCAACTCCCGGAGCCCCGAGGTCAAGAGGCACCTGGGGACCGGCTCACGAGTGGTCTGGCTCTGAGTTCTCAGCCCCCCGCCCCCCCCCCATCCCCCCACCGCGTCCCCAGATCCCCGCAGACCAGTTTCGGGCTGTTTCACTGAGGTCCCTTCCTTAGAGAATGCCATTTGAAGAAAAGTTTGATGGCAAAAAAAGGAGGGGAAGCTTTAAAGTTTAAAAACATCCCCATTTGCCGAAGCCTGTTTGGCTCAGTGGTAGGGCGTCGGTCTGCGGACTGAAGGGTCCCAGGTTCGATTCTGGTCAAGGGCATGTACATTGGTTGCGGGCACATCCCCGGTAGGAGGTATGCAAGAGGCAGCTGGCCGATGTTTTTCTCTCATCAACGTTTCTAGCTCTCTATCTCTCTCCCTTCCTCTCTGTTAAAAATCAATAAAATATATTAAAAAGAAAAAAGAAAAAAATAACACCCCCATTTTACAGCTGGGGGAACTGAGGTTTAGAACAAGGAGGCAGCTTGCATGCATTTGGAGCTGGGTCCAGCCTCTTTGTCCTGCCTCTCGGGCAGAGCTGCTCTGGCCCTGCCTGGCTGAGGGAGGACCTCCACGCCTGCTGGTACCACCTCCACAGAGCACTGTGGGGAGCGCAGGGCCTCCCAGGCCTGCTGCTGACTCTGTGTGGCCTGGCCCGAGACACGGTACCACTCCGAGCCCGTTTCCAACACGTGGGCGGCCTCTGTCCTGTTGTGAAGACAGACTAATGACTAGTACGATACGGAGGCCCTGCTGAAATCGGTTTGGCTCAGTGGATAGAGCACCAGCCTGAGAACTGAAAGGTCCCAGGTTCGATTCCGGTCAAGGGCATGGACCTTGGTTGCGGGCACATCCCCAGGAGGGGGTGTGCAAGAGGCAGCTGATCGATGATTCTCTCTCATCCATGTTTCTAACTCTCTATCCCTTTCTCTTCCTCTCTGTAAAATAATCAATAAAATATATATTTTTTTAAAAGACACAGAGGCCCAGGAGGCCAAGGACTCGCCCAGGGTCACGCAGGCAGCTGGGGAGAGCGGAGACAAGAGGCAGCAGTGTGCCGGCCCCTCCCACACCACCCAGATCCAAGGTCAGCTGCAGTGAGGTTCTGGGGGAAGCTTTTAAACGCCCCCCCCCCCCCATCAGCCAGCCTGAGGCAGGGCCCCTCACCTGATTTTCCGGCCCCGGATCCAGGGCAGATACGGCAGCTTCTTGACGATGATGGTGCCGTCGTAGAAGGAGGGCTGGCAGCTCTGGGCGATGGCGTTGGCCGCCAGCACCGCCATCAGCACGGGCAGCGCGTGCACGATCTGGCCGGTCAGCTCGAAGGCCAGCAGCGCCGTGGAGATGGTGTGGGTCACGGCCCCCGAGAAGGCCGCAGCCCCTGCAGGGGGCAGAGCCGGGGCGGGGGCTCAGGCCAGGGGCCAGCCTCCCGCAGAGGGCGAGGCTGGTCTGGCTGTGGCCACGGGCTGGGTGGCAATTGTCCGGAGGCCACACTCTGGCCACGGTGGGACACCCAAAGCCTGGGCTCGGTGAGGGGGAGAGCAGTGAGGGAGGGGGTGGGGGGTCAGGGACAAGACAGGCGCTGGAGAGGGTAATGGGGGCTCGGGGAAGGGCGGGGGCTCATGGGGGGCTCTGAGACCACCCTTTGCCCTGCAGAACCGCTGGCTGATCTTCCGGGTCCAGCCCACCCAGTGGGGCCCTGCCCCCTTACCTGCCAGGGCATACCCCCCGGGCATGATGGGGTTGGTGACCCCTCCGGCCACGATGCCCTCGGGGAAGGCAAGAGAGAGGGCCTCCCCTATGAGGCGCCCGACAGCAGCTCCTAGCCACAGACCCGGGTGAGCAGGCTGGCCCGGCCCCCCGCCCTCCATCCTTGGGGACAAACCCAGGCCATGGCCTCCCCATCACCCTGAACCTCTGAGACCCTCAGGCCCCCAGACTCACCGAAGATGAATATGGGCATGAAGTAGCCAGCGGGCATGGGGATGGTGGTGGCCAGGATCAGCATCCAGAACTGCGGGCGGGGAAGCCAGAGGGGCAGAGGCTAGAGGCAGCAGGGCCAGGGTGGGCAGGGCACTGCGGGGGTCTGGTGCCAGAGAAGGCGTTGGCCAGCGGAAGGACCCTGACCCTGACATAGTGCCTACTGTGCGCCAGGGCCTCTCCTTCCTTCCCTCTCAACCTTACCTCTGAGGTGGGCGCAATGACTATCTCATTTTATTTATTTATTTATTTATTTATTTATTTATTTATTTATTTATTTATTTAAAAATATATATATTTTATTGATTTTTTTAACAGAGAGGAAGGGAGAGGGATAGAGAGCTAGAAACATCGATGAGAGAGGAACATCAACTAGCTACCTCCTGCTCACCCCCCACAAAGGGGATGTGCCGGAAACCAACGTACATGCCCTTGACTGGAATCGAACCTGGGACCTTTCAGTCCACAGGCCGACGCTCTATCCACTGAGCTGGTTTTGGCTGACTATCTCATTTTAAAGGCAGGGAAACCAAGGCTCAGAGAGCCAGAGAGGCTAGGCCCGGACACACAGCGGGCAGGGGTCAGGCCAGGGCGTGTGGGCGAAAGGCACCCCACCCCCCCAGGACTGGCCTTGGCTGTAGGCACACCCCTGGGGGCCCCGGGGCGCCCACCTTCATCACCAGGAAGAAGGCCAAGGTCCCAAAGATGGTGAACCGCGGGTGGTACCACTCGAGCCACAGGTTCTGGGGGTCGGGCTCGGCGGGCCAGGGTGGGGACGAGTTCCGGGTCATCAGGGCCCACGAGTTGTTGTCAAACAGGGTGTCCAGGTGCTGCTTCATGGACAGCTGGAGCGGCAGGGGGGGGGGTTCAGAAATATGCATGAGGGTCCCTGCCATCCCCCAGGCAGCCACCCCCTCCCCCCCTGCCTGACCTGGCCTCCCCCCGCCCCCCACTTCCCAGTGTAGGGGACTTGGAGCTGCTCAGAGCCTCCCCTTTGTGGGGATTAAGGGGGATCAAACTGGGGTCCCCATCCCACTGCGCCAGCTCAGGCCCCTTACCCGAGAAGCCATGAAGCGGCCCACGCCCGGGGGGTAGGTGATGGAGGCGAGGATCAGGGCGGCCAGGGCGGCGTACAGGGGCTTGCTGTGGGGGGGGCAGGGGGGGAGCTCCAGGGCCACTCCCCCCTTCGCCCCCACCTCACGGCCCCACCACCCTGCGGGCTGGCACTGGGGCAGGAGCAGGAGGAGGGCCGGTCCCCCAGTCGCTGTGTGACAGGGGCAGGGCTGATGGCAGAGGTTGGGACAGAGGCCAGCCCGGCCCGGGTGGGGCCAGCGTGTGGCCAGCCAGGGCAGCTGGGGGCTGACTCTGAGCTGCCAGTGCCGGGGCAGCCGAGGTTGGGGAGGAGCGGGGGCGCAGTGACGGGCTTGGGGCTCCGGGGGGGAGTGGGGTTCAGTGAGGGATGAGGACCTGAGAGGGGCGTTATGAGGGAATGGGGGCTCCTTAAGCGGGTGGGGACCAGGGGGTTGGGAGGCTCAGTCGGAAGAGGGGGTGCAGTCAGCCCCCGGGGGTGAGGGTCTCCGGCCCAGAGCCCACCTGGTGGCCAGGAGTTTGGAGGTGAGCGGGTTCGTCTTGACGAAGATGAGGAAGTTGCGCTGGCAGAAGAGGTAGGCGCAGCTCAGGACGCCGCAGATGGCCCTGCAGGGTTGGGGTGAGCCAGGGCAGCGCCGGAGCCCAGGACAGCCGCTCCGGCTGGGGGAGGGGCGCGGGGGGGCCCCTGTGGGGCTGCAGGGCCCCGGCGGCACTCACCCCAGCGCCACGAAGAAGAAGATCTCGGGCAGGTCGAAGGGGACGTCCACCCGGAAGCTGGTCTTGAAGAGGGAGGTGATGGTCTCTGGGGGAGGGAGCGGGGTCGCTCTCACACCCCAGCCCTGGCCCCTGCTCCCGCCCCGCTGTGTCCCTCTGCCCTCAGGGCCCCATCCTTCCTGGCCACACAGGTCAGCTCCCTCCTCCCGCCTCGGAGGAGATGGGGATGGAAGAGGGAGGAGAAAAGCTGGGAGGAAGAATGGGGAGAGGAAGAGGAGAGGATGAAGAGAGGAAGGAGAAGAGGAGGGGAGGGGAAGAATAGGGAGGAGGGAAAGGAGGAGGGAGAGGAAGGAGGGGAGGAGGGAGAGGAAGGAAGGGAGGGGGAGAGGAAGGAGGAGAGGAGGGAGAGGAAGGAGGGGAGGAGGGAAAGGAAGGAGAGGAGGAGGGAAAGGAAGGAGAGGAGGAGGGAGAAGAAGGAGAGGAAGAGGGAGAGGAAGGAAGGGAGGGGGAGAGGAAGGAGGGGAGGGAGAGGAAGGAGGGGAGGGAGAGGAAGGAGGGGAGGAGGGAAAGGGAGGAGAGAAGGAGGGAAAGAAAGGAGGGGAAGGAGGAGAGGAAGTAGGGGAGGGAGAGGAAGTAGGGGAGGGAGAGGAAGGGGAGGAGGAAGGAGAGGAAGGAGGGGAGGAGGGAGAGGAAGGAGAGGAGGAAGAAAAGGAAGGAGGGGAAGGAGGAGAGGAAGTAGGGGAGGGAGAGGAAGGAGGGGAGGAGGGAGAGGAAGGGGAGGAGGAGGGAGAGGAAGGAGAGGAGGGGGGAGAGGAAGGAAGGGAGGGGGAGAGGAAGGAGAGGAGGGGGGCAGGGAGTTCCGGGACTCACCCTGCTCGCTGTTGAAGACAGCCAGGAGGCGGAACATGAAGGCCCCGCAGGTGGCGGCGAAGAAGCCGCGCCAGTAATCCCAGACGGAGAAGTGCGAGGACATGACCTCGATGCTGAACAGGACGCCTGGGGGGCGCCGAGCTCAGACAGACCGGTCCGTCCTCCCGCCCCCGTCCGCCCTCCCGGCGCCCCCCCCCCCCCCCCCCCGCCGCCCTCCCGGCCCCCCGGTCCGCCCTCCCGGCCCCGGCCCGCCCTCCTGGCCCCCGGTCCGCCCTCCCGGCCCCCCTCCCCGTCCGCCCTCCGGCCCCCGGTCCGCCCTCCCGGCCCCCCGGCCCGCCCTCCGGCCCCCAGTCCGCCCTCCCGGCCCCCCGCGTCCACCCTCCCGGCCCCCCACCCCCGTCCGGTCCGCCCTCCCGGCCCCGGTCCGCCCTCCCGGCCCCCCCGGGTCCGCCTCCTGGCCCCCGGCCCGCCCTCCCGGCCTGAGTCAGGCCTCCCTTCTCTCTGTTCGGAGCGGCAATGGGGGTTGGGGGGCAGGCCCCCGCCTCCGGGACCAGGCCCTGCTCTCTCCCCGCCGCCTCCATCCCCGGGGGTGGCTCTGCCATGGCCCCATCGCACAGGTGGGGCAGTGAGGCTCCGGGCAGGGAACCTCCTGGTCCAGGGCCGCCCAGACCGCTGGTCTCACACCCAAGTCTGCCTAAGGGGACCCCGAAGCGCCTGACACCCATCCACTCCCCCACCCCGTGCGGGCCAGACTGCGGTTAGAGCCAGGACCAAAATGAGCCCCCTCCCTCCTCCGGCCCTTGGCCGGGCCCTCAGCAGACCGGAGGGCGGGGAGCCCAGGGGGCCAGGGCGGTCAGGGGGTCTCACCGCTGAAGGGCGCTGCGAAGACCGTGGCCACGCCCACCGCCGCCGCGGCCACCAGCATTTCGTTCTGCTTGCTCTTGTTCTGGGGGATGGGGTGCTGGGCTCAGAGGCAGCCCCTCCCCCTCATTCCCTCCGGGGGCCCTCCCTGAGCCCCTCACCTCGGGTTCCCCGATGGTCTGGGTGCGCACGCGGCCCAGGTAGGCAGCGATCATCACGCACAGGTGCACGAAGGGGCCCTGGGGAGGAGGGACCTCTGAGGGGGGAGGCCCCTGCTCCTCCCCCTCAGCGCCCTGGGTAGGGGGACAGAGGGGACCTCACCCAGACACACCCACTCTTCCGTCTCCCCAGCCCCTGGCCACATTCTGGGGGCCCGGCCTGCCACCTCCCCAACACGGAGCCCCTGAAGGCCGGCACTGGCCCGAGTCCTGCCTGACCCCGCCTGACCCCGCCTGACCCCACCTGACCCCGCCGGGGTGGAGGTCAGGGGAAAGGCAGGAGGGGGGGAGCGGGGGTGGGGTGCTCTCTCGCTCGCTCGTACCACTTTGCCCAGGAAGATGGTGCTGCCACAGGCCAGGGTGCAGGTGAGGCCCACCACCTTGGCCCCGAAGTTCTTGATGTCCAGGTAGTCCTCCAGCACCACCCCCGACAGGATGGTCTTCAGCTCCGGGAGCCCAGAACCTGGGCAGCGGGAGGGACAGACTCTGGAGACACCTGACCCTGCAGAGCGTTTCACACACACACACACACACACACACACACGCACGCACACGCGCGCGCACACACACACACCCCTCTTGTCAGGCCCTTTAAAGCCCCAGGAACAGGTTTCATAAACCCGTTTTCCAGAGGAGAAAGCCGAGGTCAGAAAGGAGACGCGAATGGCCCGTGTCCTCCCAGCTGGGCCTGGCAGGTGGCTGTGGCAGACTGGGAGGGTGTTGGGGGACCCAGGCCATCCTGCATGCACCCCTGGAGTTCCCATCGGCTGGCCGGAGCTGGAGGCAGAGCTGAGAGGCCTGGGGAGCCGGGCCCCCATCAGCCCTGCCGGGAATACTCTGGGTGTCCGCCCTGCAGGAGAACCTGCCGCTGGCTCTCCCCATCACCCCCCAGAAGAATTCCCCGGAAGAGACCGGAGGCCTCAGCGACCCAGGAGTCCAGATCTGGCCCTCGTGCTGTGTGACTCGGGACAAGGGACACAGCTCTGCTGAGCCTGATTTCTCCGACCATGAAGCAGGGGTCCTGCTTCCTGCCCCCGCCCATCAGAAGCCCGAGGGCATGGACCAGCGGAGGGTGGACTGCAGGGCCAGGCCGGCCTCACCTCCGGAGAAGGGTGTGATGCTCTGTGAGAAGCCCGAGGAGAAGGAGACCAAGGCCATGGGGTACACCGTCCAGGAGAGGTACCGAAGCAGGTGGCTGTCTCCGATCTCCCGGTACAGCCACTTGTGTGCTGGGGGCAACCAGGAGGCAGGGGTCAGGGAGCGCCCACCGGCTCTGCAGCCCTCGGTGCCCACCTGCTGACCAGGAAACAGGCCTGGAGAGGGGAGGCCCGGGCCGCCAGGGAGCGGCAGAGCCCCAGGAGGAGCAGGAGCAGGACCCCGGATCCCCACCCAGGTTTGCTACTCCCTCGCTGAGGGGCCTTGGGCCAGGGACTCAACCTCTCAGAGCCTCTGTTTTCCTGTCTGCCAAATGGGCTAGCGATGGTACCTCCCCCACAGGGTCATTGTGAGAAATGAGGCAGAGTGGGAAGCTCCTCAGACAATGGCTGTCTGGTGCAGGGCAGGGGCTCACTGGCACCCCAGCCAGTCTCCCAGAGACAGGCGCTCTTCCTGCCCCGCCCCCTCCTCCAGGGAGCCCTCGGGGTGGAGAGAGCCTGCTGACCCATGGTGGTCTGAGCGAGTGCCCTCCCCCAGCTACTGAGTTGAGAACAAGGAGGACAAGAGGGAGGGAGCTAGCAGCAGGCCGAGGGAACATGGACTCAGACGAGAGGGCTCTAGGGAGCACTAAGGGCTCTCTCACGCCTTGTGCAGATGAGGAGATCGGTGCTCAGAGACAGGCAGGAGCTTGTCCAGGGTCACACAGCAAGCCAAGAGCCATGCCGGGCCCTGGCCTGTGTTCTCAGTGGTTAGACCAAAGGGTCTCGAGCTCAATCCCCGGTCAAGGGCACATGCGTACCTGGGCTGCGGGTTCAATCCCCAGCCTTGGTTGGGGCACATGCGGGAGACAACCAATTAATGTGTGTCTCTCACACTGATGTTTCTCTCCTCCCCAGCTCCCTCTCTCTCCCCGCTCCTCCCTCCTTTCCACTTTCCGTAAAAATCAATGGAAAAATATCCTCAGGTGAGAATGAACGACAACAGCAAAAAGAGCAATGGCAGCACCAGACCAGGCCTCCTCCCCACCCAGACCCCTCCCACCTCACCACCACCACCACCACCCCCAACCCCCGCTGCATCTGGGGGTGCATCTGGCCTCCTGAGGGCACGCTCAGACACCCTGGGTCCGGAGCAGGCGTGCGTGCCGGGAGGACTCACCTCGGACCACGCGCCCCACGGTGAAGCTCATGGTGTAGCTGATCAGGGCCATGAGCACGCCGAGCGTCGCCAGGAAGTACCAGTCCTCGCCCACACGGAACAGCTTCTGCTTCAGCCACTCCAAGCCGCCTGGCACAGGGACACGGGGTCCCGAGGTCACGGGGTCACAGCCCAGAGCCAGGGGGGCACGGACAGCCCTTCCCAGCAGCCTGCTCTTGCTCAGAGCGGGAAAGGCAGGGCAGTGTGGGGCTGGGGAGGTGGGCCAGTCCAGGGTCACCTGCTGGGCACTGCCTCACGTGGGGCAGAGCAGGATCTGGGGGGGAGGGTGGCAGCACAGGGGGCCTCAGAGGGGCCTGCCCCCACCCCTGCCCCGCACTGGGGTACTTATGGAGGAAGGTTCAAGGCTCAGGGTGAGGAGCAGTGCTGGGAGCGCTCTCTGTAATCAGCACAGGGGCTGGAGCTTAGACAGCTCAAGGGTCTAGCCTCCCTCCTGTGTGGTCCCAGCACCTGCGGGGCGGGCGTTGGGCAGAGAGCACCCCCTGGTGCACCTCCTTAGCAAGGCCCCTGGCACAGTGGTCAGCATCAGGGATGGACGGACAGGCCCCTTCCCCCCTGCCACCAGGAGGCGCTAGCAGTGCTGTGGGGGCAGAGCCAGGGGGAGGGCAGCTCTGGGCTTTCAGGGGCGGGAGGTGCAGCCCGGGAGGGGGTGATGTCCTGAGAGCCCGCTGAAGGGGAGGGGAAGGGGACCCAGCTCTCACCTCCAATGCGGCGGCGGAGGCGGGGACACGGGCCCCACAGCTCCTGGAGCGTCACAGGGTTCCCCGAGGAGCCCTCTCGCAGCCCCACCAGCTCCTCCATCGGGTCCCTGGGGCAGCCGACAGGAGGGTGGACCCTTGTGAGCTGCCCCAACTCCCATGCACTGGCCCCGGCCCTTCCAGTAGCACCACTTCCCTGTCAGAGGAAAGGTGGCGTTCCCCTGTGTGTGCGTGTGTGTGCGCGCGTGTGCGTGTGTGTGCGTGTGTGTGGGTGGGTGTGGGTGTGTATAAAGCTACCGGAGGGACATAAGTCCAGTGTGCCCTGGGTGTCAGCGAGGGTGTGCACGTGTGTGCAAAGTGTGCGGTGGAGTTTTCTCTGTGCCCTTCGCATCCAGCAGCCAATTGGCCAAAGCAAGTGTCCGAGCCAGAGCCCCGTCCCCCTGCCCCCGAGGCCACCGCCTCTACCCTCCCTGGACACTTGTCTGCTTCCCCCTGGAGGCTCTGACGCCCTGAGCCCCCTCCCCTTCTGCTCAGGCCCCAGAGGCAGCAAAGCCCCAGGCCCAAAAAGAGAGGCTGAAATGAGATGCCGGCTCCCTGCCCTGCCCTTCTGCTCCTGCCCGGCCTGACCAGGCCCCGGCCAACCCATCCAGGTCCATCCCAGCTCTGCACCCAGCAGCCCCTCACCTTGTCCGTCCACCCCGCTGCGGCCCCGGATGGCCTCTAACAGACTCCTGTGGCTGCAGCGCAGGGCACCTGCACAGGTGTGTGTTCCACCAATCAGCACCCTGCCCCCTCCCAACCCGCCCTGCGGGTTCACTGCGGCTATTAAGAATGTCCTTGACAAACCGACCAGAACTGCCCAGGCCTGCTGGGCCGTGCAGCCCGGAGCAGCCAAAAGGAGCCGGGAGCAGGGCTCCCCTCAGCCGAGCGTAGCCACGAAGCCGGCCGCAGGCAAGGGCACCCGAGGCTTTGGTGGCGGCCCTCACACGCACAGCGGGACAGGGAGGTCATCTGCGGGGCTGAGGGCCGGGCCCTGGACTCTCAGAGCTGGGTGTGGAGGGATCTGAAAGAGCAGAGAAAGGAGGGGAGGAAGATGGCGGAGCAGGAGGAAGGCCTGGGGCAAAGGTGAGGGCACTGTCATTGCTGCCCTCTTGCAGTGTGCCAACAGCCCCCCCACACACACACTCTCATCAGTGAGTGCCCCTGGGACCCAGCCAGGGGGGTGGCATTATTCCCGTTCAAACAAATGGAGCCTCAAAGAGGTGTAGCTGCTTGTCAAGGTCACAGAGGTCAAGGGCAGAGCTGGAACTCCCCCCCACCCGCCCCCCCTCCCGCCCCAGGTTTGCCTGTCTCCAAAGCCTGGACAGCAGCCCACGGTCCTGCCCTGACAGCCCACCTCTCTCAGAGCTGGGCGGAGGCCACAGCTGGGCAGGGGCAGTGCATCCGGTGGCCAGGGCCTGGGGATGAACTTAGACTTGATCCTGGTGTCCAGCCCCTCCAGTCTCAGAAAACCGCCCCTCAAACCACAGGCTTCTGGGTAAATGCCCAGACTTTGTCACTCCCCAAACAGAGGGTCGGAGCCAGGTCATGGGGGGCATGGTGAGGGAATAAGCACATGTCACACCCTGGCTACATGCCAGGCCCTTAAGTCTGCAACTCAGTTCCTCCTCCCAGCACCCTGTGAGTCCCAGTCAGCACCACAGTTTTGCAGATGATAAACAGAGGATCAGAGAGGTGCAGTCACTCACCTGAAGTCACACAGCAGAGGCTGAGCCCAGACCTAGACTGCGCACCCTTCCCCCTACCCAGAGCTCCTCAAACTCTGGTGACTGACACAATCAGGGCAAGGTTTGGGCACAGAGCAGAGGATTTTTGTCTGATGCCACTTTTTAAAAATACATATACTCTATTGATTTAAAAAATATATATATTTTATTGTTTTTTTACAGAGAGAGAGAGAGAGAGATAGAGAGAGCTAGAAACATTGATGAGAGAGAAACATCGACCAGCTGCCTCCTGCACACCCCCTACTGGGGATGTGCCCGCAACTAAGGTACATGCCCTTGACCGGAATCGAACCTGGGACCCTAGAGTCCGCAGCCCGACGCTCTATCCACTGAGCCAAACCAGTTAGGGCTGATGCCACTTTTGAGAGATTTAGGCAAGAGATCTGGAACCACTGCCCACCCCCTCCCTGGAGTATAGCCCGCACCCCTCCCCCCGTAAATCATGATGGCCCTTCAATGACTTGTTAAAATCCTGGGAGCCTGAGCCACCCTCTCCCCCTAGATGCTGGGTCAAGTGGATCCAAAGAGGAGCCTGTGTGTGCTGTGTGCGGGGAGTGGGTGGGGCTTACTGCTCTGCATGGACTGGGGCCCACCCTCACCTTCCCACACCCCTTATTGCCTGGCTGCCCCATTAACATCCCAGCCCCAGCTCTGACCTCCAGCAGCCGCTGGCTACAACGCACAGCCAGGGTCAGCCAGCCAGCAGGCCGGCATGTCCACACCTCACCCCCTGGCCTGCGAGCACCAGGAAGCTGGGCAGAGGGCAGCGGGGGGAGGGGGTATGGCAAGTCCCTCCCAAAGCTCTGTACCCCACATGCCAGCCCCTCAACTTCTGCCCCTTCTTCACCGAGCCCCAGCAGCGTGGAGGGAGAACAGGCTTAATGAGAGCCATAGCAGCTCCTCCACCCCTCCGAGCTGGGTTCCCTCTTCTGTCCAATGCGGGGAGCCTGGGAGCTGCGGGGCGGGGCTTACCTCTGCCTCATTCACACCAGTCCCCCCCAGAGCTGGATCAGTGCCCGGCACACAGTGGGTGTTCCATAAACCTACTGCGTGCTGGGTGGTTTTCGAGCACTGGCCTGTGGGCTGGCTGAGTGGAGAGCTGATGGGAACAGACTCCTGGTCCCTTCCCAGGGCCCCAAATTAGAATCTCGGGGTGCAGGTGAAGGCTCTGGGTTTGTCAGAATCCCCTCAGGCGACTGGATGCCCTGGCAGGCTTGGGATTCAGGGCATTTGATCATTCCTGAAGCTCCTTCTATCCCGGTGATCTGAAGGGAGAGGCGGGCCCAGAGACAGGGCGATGGCCTCGGTGACCTTCAGGGTCCCTCCTGGCCACTGAGGCCGTGGATGCAGTGTATGCGTGGGCAATGCCTCGGGGAGGGGGGGGGGAGGGGGGAGGGGGGAGGGACGGTGGGCCGGGGTGGGGAAGGAGATCTGACGTCCAGGAGCCGTGACTCAGGCCCTCAGCACCATGACAGTGTGTCTGCATTTAGCCACTGGCTCCTGTTTCCCTGGCGGGAGGCAGGCCTCTGGGCCCCCCACCCCTCCCCCACCTCCTTTCCACCTTGCTCAGTGCTGGCGACTTCCCGGCAGCCCCCTGGGCCAGGATGGGCGACGTGGGCAGGAATTCCAGGCAGGCATCTCCCCTGGAGCGAAGGGCCCCTTTCCCCAGCCACTGCCTTGACCCATCTTCAGGGGCCACCCCTCTAGACAGAGCCCCCAAGAAGGAATTCTGTGGGAGCCAGAGAGAAGAGACACAGCCCCCAGCTCCAGGAACCCCTGCCCTGGAGGAGCTGCCAGTCTCAGAGGCCCAGGACCACCAGGCTGCACTGCCCGGAGCTGGGGTGGGCAGACAGGTGGCACTGTGGGCCTCGTGTGGACGGCTGCAATCAGAGAGGTCTCCATGGGGGAGGAAGGCAGGGCTTGGGGCGGAGAGCGGAGGCCCCACACTCAGCCTGGGCAGGTGCGAAGGGCCCACTCCCTTCTCAGAATGGCCTTTCCTTGGCCCCCTCCCCCAGGTCAGTCCTGGCTCCGCTGAGCTATGGGGAGCAGACAGGGGTTCTCGGGGGCTTCTGGGCCAGCCCGTCTCCACACACACGTGTCCAGGTCAGCCAGCCTCCCGGGAGGCTTTGGGTCACAAATGTCCGGGTTCGAGTCCAGCTGTGCCGCTTGCCCTGAGCGGCTGTTGCCCATCTGTAACACGGGGTGACGCCTCCTTTCAGAGCTGAGTGGGGAGCAAATGGACCATCTGGAAGCTCCTCCCAGGAGCCCTCTCCGGATTCTCTGCCTCCAGAGCACCTGCCGCTGCCGCCCCAGGGTTCCCAGAAATACAGCCTCCTGATCTTTAGGGGCGATGACCACATTCCCTCCCTCCCGCCCCCAGCCTGTCTCAGGCTGCTAGCTTTCTCCTCTTGGGGCCCCCGAAAGGCTCCAGAATGTATGTGTGTCTCGGGGGGCCGGAGATGGGCATGGGGGGGTGTCAAGCATGGAGTCTGGGTCCCAGGGGGAGCTGGCAGGGGCACAGCTGCACATTCTCACCCCCCAATCCCCACCCCTAAGAGACGGCTGTAAACATCGTCTGCCCCAACGGAAAGAGCCCCTCACGTCACACAGGGGTCCAGCAGGTGGGGGGTGCAGGGCCCCTCCTGACCTCCTGACCAGGCCTCTCCTGGCCCCTGATCCCTCACCACTCAGAACCCCTCTTACTTCGCCTGCTACTTCGGGGGAGGGGGAAGACGGGAAACAGAAAAGCCGGGCCACAAGGGGTACGCAGGGAGGCAGAGTCCTTAAGAGCCCTGGCTGCCGGGGCAGACAGAGACACGGCCCCCCACCCCCACTCCCCCGCACACAGGCCCCGGGCGCGGGTCTGAGTGCCATGGGGCCGGCCTGGCGCCCTCCCCGCCCTGAGCGGCCGGGGCTGGAGTGATCGGCCTGGAATGCCAGGCTATGAGCTCAGCCTCACGGGCCTGTGTGCGTCGGCCTGTCAGCAGCCCCGTCTCACAGGAGAAGCTTTCCAGCCCCTCTGGGCCGGCGAGGCCTAAATTTAGCCGGTAGACAAGGGGCTGGCCCCGCGCCCGGGACGGCCGGGCCTTATAAAGCGCCGGCGGCCGGGCCCGGCACACTCCCCGGCGCCTTCGCCCGCACCCGCGTCCACCCTGCCCCTGGCCGGGCCCGGCTGCCCGCTGTGGATGAGCCACCGCACCTCCTCCAGCTTCAGAGCCGAGAGAAGCTTCCACTCCTCCTCCTCCTCCTCGGCTTCCTCCTCCTCGGCCTCCGCCGCCCGCGCCCTCCCGGCCCAGGACCCGCCCATGGAGAAGGCCCTGAGCATGTTCTCCGAGGACTTCGGCAGCTTCATGCGGCCCCGCTCGGAGCCCCTGACCTTCCCAGGCGAGTGCTGGGGCTCTGCAGGCTCGGAGACCCCGGGAGGGGCCTCTGCTCCTGGCGCCTCTGAACGTGGCTGCGGCCGCCCAGCTGCCAGGAGCAGGTGCTTTGTGGCTGCAGCCACATGTGGCCAACCAGACAGATGTGGCCACCCGGAGAGATGTGGCCACAGAGACGACAGATGTGGCCGTGGGAACCGGCCAGCCTTCAAGGAACAGGTGTGGCCAGGGGTCAGCTACGGTGCTGATGGCCACACAGGGGGCTGGAGCTCTGAGGGGCTGCATGAGGTTGAAGGGAAATGCATCCCCCACTCTAGGTGTGAGGCAGGTTGCTACACACACACACTCACACACACACTCACATGCACACACACACACTCACACACACACATGCACACACACACACTCACATGCACACACACACACACGCGCACACACACACACACGCACACACACACTCACACACACTCACATGCACACACGTGCTCACACACATGCGCACACACGCTCACACACATGCACACACTCACACACGTGCACTCACACACATGCACACACACACACACATGCGCGCATGCACACACACACCCCTGTGCCTGGTAGGCTCTGGCCTGCCATGGAAGAGGCAGGCTGCAGGGGGTGAGGGGGGTGGGCAGGGAGGGGAGGGACAGTAGCTGAGAGGGAAGTCAGGCCTGGGGGGCCTCCCCGTCCCCAGGAGCCTGAGCTCTGGGTGCAGGCCTGCTCGGAGCTCGGCTCACGGCAGCCCTCCCTCCCCAGCCCGCACCGGGGGGCCGGGCAACATCAAGACCCTCGGCGACGCCTATGAGTTTGCGGTGGACGTGAGCGACTTCTCCCCCGAGGACATCATCGTCACCACGTCCAACAACCACATCGAGGTGCGCGCCGAGAAGGTGAGCGCCCGCCCGCCGGACCCCGGGTTCCGCCTGTCCCCTCTGCCCGGGTCCCAGCTCCCACGTCTCATCCTGGGGCCCTGGACTCTACCCAATGTCCCTCCCAGTCCCCAGGGCACATTGGAGACCTGCCTTTGTACCTCGTGGGCTGCAGGATCCCCGCTACGGCCTCTCTCTGCCCCGAGACCCGTTTTCCAGGAGCCGGGGCCGCCGAGGGGCCGCGGGGGAACGGGAGGGCAGGGGGAGGCGGGGGCACCTGGGCCGGGAGCAGAGAGGGAGATGGTGGCTGAGGGAGGAGGACCGCTGAGTTGGCAGGCATGTGGGTAGGTGGGGACTCACCTGGACAGCTGTGGGAAGAGTTCCCCCACATGACACCCCTCAAGCCCTCTTCCCTCCGGGCTCCAGAGGCCCAGCCCCCAGCCTGGGACCCCTGAACCAGAGTCCCTGCCATTCAGGATTCCACACTCCAAACCCCATACTCCCTCTGCCCGCGCGCTCAGGTCACTGGGTCACTAGGGTCTCTGAGTGCCGGCTCCCAGCAGGTGTGCCCTGGGCGGAGGGCATGCCCCAACCTGACCCTGGATGCTGGCTGCAGCAGGCCGCAGCCGCAGGTGCCCCAGAGAGGAGAGGGGCTGTCCCCGGCTCCTGCCAGAGCCCCCTCCCTGAGCACAGGATGCTAGGTGCCTGGGCACCCTGTCAGGGAAGCCGCAGCCTGTGGGCACCAGGACCAGTGGGCAGCGTGTGCCAGCCCTGCCACTCCCGCCAGTGACTCAGCCACCCCGGGCTCCTCTGGACACTATGTGCTGGCCGGGCCGTGGGGGAAGGGCCGCCGGCCCAGCCCGGACAGGGGAGACCCGATGCATCTGGGTGCCCCAGGGGGCTCCACCGGGCCCTGCGCCACCTGCTCGGTGCTCAGGAACCCCCGCCTCTGCCACCAAGCCCCCTGTTTCTGACCCCCCCAAAGCTCCTCGCCTACCTGTGCACCTGTCCCTGCACAGTCCTGGGCCTGCGGCCACCATCACCCTGGCCAGACCCCTCAGCAGGAGGGCCCCCCTGGGCTGGGACTGGGGGGCAGGGGCGGGGCTGGACATGAGCTGGGCAGGGGCGCAGGGTGGCCTGCCCTGACCCGTCTCCCCCCACCCCTCACCAGCTGGCAGCGGATGGCACGGTCATGAACACCTTCGCTCACAAATGCCAGCTGCCGGAGGACGTGGACCCCACTTCCGTGACCTCAGCGCTGAGGGAGGACGGCAGCCTCACCATCCGGGCGCGGCGACACCCGCACACAGAGCACGTCCAGCAGACCTTCCGGACGGAGATCAAAATCTGAGGCCGCCCTGCCCCTGTCCCTGCCCCTGCCCTCCCCTCCCCGACTCCCCTCCTCCTCCAACTCCCCGCACCCACCCCCCTGGCCTGCCAGAGTCTTCCTCACCCCTCATAACAGCTGCCAGGACATCTCAGCCCCGGCCCCAGCCCTGACACCCCCACGGCCCCAGGTGGGTCATCCTCACCCCAAAACAGAGGCCTCTGCTCTGCCCAGGACGAGAGGGCTCCCCCTCTCCTTCCAGATGGCTCCCCCGCTCTCTCAGTGCAGACACAGAGGTCGGGGTGGGGAAGGGAGAGAGCCCCCGGGGAAGGAAGCTGAGGAGAGGCAGGGTCTCTGCTCTGGGCACGTCATCTGCAGGACAGACACCGGGCAGCTCCTCTGCCCCCCGGAGTCTCTGCCAGGCAGGGGGGCGGGAAGGGCCCTGGGACCCCCTTGGCAAGGGGAGCAGGAGAGGCAGGTGCCCAGGCCAGGAGACAGCCAGGATGAAGCCCCGAACCAGCTGCCTGCCTGCCCACCTGGAGCCCCCGGCCGGCCAGCTGTGCCAGGGCAGGGCCACGTGGTGTTTGTACACCGACGGGGTTTTTCCAATGCAGCCGGTTCGTGACAAACTGTGAAACTCCTGCCATCTGTCACCTGCCCGTGCCCCTAGGCTGAGGGCTGTGGCGGGTCCGGCTGGGCCTCCCGGGGCTGGGCTGCCTCCATGCAGACGGATCACCCAGCCGGTGGGGGAGAGAGACCATGGGTGGGGCTGTGGGTCTCCAGGTCAGAGAGTGTCTGGTCAGCCGTGGCCACGGCCAGTCCTTCCCCTCTTCAAGCTACGAATCTACAGGTGTGGTGTGTGTATACTGCCCGGGGGGACACACACACCTGCCGTCCTTCCGATCCTAAGCGTTACCATTGGTTCAGTCCAAATTCAGCACATTCTAAAGTCAGAGTCAGTCTCCCTATCCATCAGGGGGGACACGGAGTCTCTGAGCAGGTGACTGCCCAACGTGCTCATGAACATGGACCCAGGGAGTCCGAGGCTGCTCTCAACGCGCCCCCCACCGCCTGGGTACCGGGAAGTGGTTCCCCTCTCCGCCTCTCTTGGCCTTTGCCTCTGTGTTCAGATCCTTCTGCTGGAGGAAGCCCCCAGCCAGGTCCCTCCTGGTCCCCAGGCCGGGGAGGGGCTCAGGCGGCCTGCATCCCGGGAGCCTCAGCTGCTTGCAAAGACCCTGGCTCCGTCCCACATACAAAACCAGGGGGGAGGAAAGGGTGGTTCCCAGTGGAGGTGGCCTCTCACCCTGCCATTTTGAGGTTTTCAGGGGGTAGTTCCGGGGGAGAAGGGCAGGGGAGGGTCCTGGCATTGTACCTGCACACATAATAAAGGACAGAATCCCAGACTTCTGGAACCACCTGCCTGACGTTCTCACATCTGGGGTGCGTTTGAAATGTTGGGGTTGGGGGGTAGCAGCTCAAGCAAAGCTCGGGACCTTCTGGAAATGTGGGTGCCCTCTGGCCTCCTCCCTTGGCTCCTGGCCCACCTGGGCGGGGCGCGCCGTTATTTCCGTGAAGAGCCTGGTAGTGCCTCCTCTTCCACCTGCCAGCTAGCGCCCGCCGCTCAGGCCGGGCACAGTCCCAGGTGCAGGGACACCAGAGGCCGGGCAGCTGCATCGAGCCCCTGCCTTCTCGAAGCCTATCATGTACCAGATGGCCGTGGAGGATCAGAGAGGTGGAGTGACTGGCCCAGGGTCACACAGCTGAAACCTGGCTGGGGTGCTGGCTAGCTGAGGAGTCTGGGTGCTCTCTGGAGAGACCCCCCCCCATATGCACCCCACACCCTCCCAGGTGATACTGAGATCATGGCCAGGCGCTGGCCCCGCGCTGCGCAGGAGGAGGGGAGGGAGAGGGGGCCGGTATTTCCAGCAGAGGTGACTCACGGATTCCACTGGGCTATTTGCAGCCTGACACTCATCAGCCCAGGGTTTGGGGGAGGAGCTGGACCAGCCCCCACCCTTCCTCAGCTCCCACCTGCAGGGTCAGGCTCACCTTGGGGTGGGACCCCAGTAACCCCTCCCCCTCTATCTTGGGTGGGGCTGGAGTGAGCTGGGCCATCACTGGCAGGAAAAGGGGTCAGCTCTCCCGGTGACCAATGGGGCTGAATGCTTTCCACCCCCAACCCCCAGGCCCAGCGGCCCCTCCCCAGACTGCGGTGGGGGGTGAGGGTCGCGCAGAGGACATGCCGGGCAGAGGGAGCTTTCCAGCCAAGGTGACCCTATGAGAGGAGGGCCAGGAAGAGGGCATGCCGGCTGGGGACTTCCATCCGCTCCGCCCCTCGGCCCCGCCCCCAGGCCCGGGACTGGTGGCCACCCTTTGTCTCCGAGGGCCCCCCACCCTTTCCAGGCTAAATATAGGCCTGGCAGAGGGCCCTGCGCCCTGCCCCCACCCCGTGCGGAATAATTATAGCAGCCCCATTCATTGAGAGCCCGGAGCGTGCCAAGCTGCCAGGCGCAGTGCTCATCCCTACAGAAACCCTGCCAGGTGGGCACTGGGGAGGACAGGCGGGTTCAGAGAGGTCAAGCAGCAGGTCAAGGTCACCCAGCTTAGACGTGGCATGGCCGGGGTTTGTATCCTTGGCTGTGGCTCTGTTCTCTGCAGCCCTGGCCCTGTGGCTCAGTGGGTGGAATGCTGCCCCATGCACTGAGGCCATCAGTGGATCCCAGGTGGAGGCACATGCCCTGGTTTCCTCCTTGATCCCCAGCAGCGGGCATGCGGAAAGCAGCTGACTGATGTTTCTCTCTCTCTTCTTCTCCCTCTGAAAAACCAAAAACCCTAGCCGGTTTGGCTCAGTGGATAGAGTGTCAGCCTGGGGACTGAGGGTCCTGGTTTTGATTCTAGTCAAGGGCACATATCCAGGTTGCAAACTTGATCCCCAGTGGGAGGTGTGGAAGAGGTGGCCAATCAATGATTCTCTCTTATCATTGATGTTTCTATATCTCTCTCCCTTTTCCTTCCTCTCTGAAATCAATAAAAATATTTTTAGCAACATATATATATTTTTAAATATATTTTATTGATTTTTCACAGAAAGGAAGAGAGAAAGGGATAGAGAGTTAGAAATATCGATGAGAGAGAGAGACATCGATCAGCTGCCTCTTGCACACCCCCTACTAGGGATGTGCCCACAACCAAGGTACATGCCCTTGACCGGAATCGAACCTGTGACCTTTCAGTCCGCAGGATGGCTCTCTATTCACAGAGCCAAACCGGTTTCGGCATAAAAACATATATTAAAAAATCAATAAAGCCCTAGCCGGTTTGGCTCAATGCACAGAGCATCAGCCTCCGGACTGAAGGTTCCCAGGTTCAATTCCAGCCAATGGCACATGCCTGGGTTGCGGACGGGATCCCCAGTAGGGGGTGTGCAAGATGCAGCCAGTCAATGATTCTCTCTCATCATTGATGTTTCTCTCTCTCTCTCTCCCTCTCCCTTCCTCTCTGAAATCAATAAAAAAAATATATATATATTTTTTAGAAAAGTAAAATGGTAGGCACATGCACCATTTTTTACACAAGTGGGCATGAGATAGTTAACAGTCAACATCTTTTACACAGGTGGGCGTAAGATAGTTAACCGTCAGCAATTAACACAATAACAACAACCACGAGGCGTCTGTGGGCTCAGCCAGGGCTGTGCTCTGAGGTCCGGGAAAAAGGAAGTTACCAGTGGCCCTGACACTCACAGGTACGTTTATCTCAGACACAAAACAGTGGGCTCAGTAAAGACCGAACTTGGCCTTTGTCAGGGAAGATGCTGGCCTAGGACCTGGCTACCTACTCTACACGGCTTGTTGACGAAGGTTTTCATCTCAGACCGTGCTTTGTGGGTCCTGTGGGTCTCTTGAGTTTGCAGGCCTTTTCTGAGCAGCCAGGTTAGCACGGGGCCCCTTTGCGTCCACACGTGTAAAGGCGTTGGCACATGGTAGCGACACAGCTCACGTTCGCCATCCACTGGAAGGCCCGGTAGGGCACAGGTACTGAGATTTCATAGAGATTTGGATCCTGACATCCCCAGTCTCACCCACACTCTCCCTGGTGCCATTGGGACCAAGACGGGTGTGTGTGTGTGTGTGTGTGTGTGTGTGTAGCTGCCCTAGTACCCAGGTCTTCTTTCCAGGAAAAGCAGATGGGGGCAGAGCGAAAAGGTCCCCTGGCCTCCCATAGAGCCTGCGGGGGGTGGGGGTGGTGGTGGGAGGGGGCGGTTGATGTGGGGAGGGAACCTCGGAAGCCTTAGTCCTCTCAGCAATAAACAAAGATCAGATGTCACCCTCCCAGAGCAGCTGTGAAGAAGCTGAGGGGGTGATGTTTTAGTATAAGCTCAACAAATGCTAAGCTCTAGTTAAAATTGTTGTTTTCCGAACAAGGAAATCTAAGGTCCCACCCACATTGGCTCTGCCCTCAAACACGGTGTGTGTGTGTGTGTGTGTGTGTGTGTGTGTGTGTGTGTGTGTGTGTGTGTGTGTGTGTCCTGAGGGGCTGGGTGTCTTCAGCGGCTGGATGGGGAGTGAGGCCAGGGCCTATGGGAGGGGAGGGGGCTGTTTACTGTCAGCACAGCTGGCCTGGGGCTCACTGCCAGCACCTGCCAGGCCAGGCCCTGGCGCCTGGGTCCAGGGACAGCCTCCCAGGAGAGCTGGGCGCTACTGGACTGGGTGGGGGCCCTCTGGTGTCTCCCCGAAGGACAAAGAGCAGGGCTGCAGGCCCCAGGGAGCCAGAGAGTAGAGGGCAGGATGGTAGATCTGCTCTTTCCTCCCTCCCTTCCTTCCCACACATGACCATCTACCACCCCAGGCAGGGAAAGGCACTGCAGACTGCTAACTTAAATGAAAAAGGCAACAGGTATTTATTTCCGTTCCAGGGCAGGGCACAGGTTTGCGCAGGTTTCAGGTTTGATCCCTAGTAGGGGGCATGTAGGAGGCAGCCAATCAATTATTCTCTCTCATCAATGTTCCTCTCTCTCTCTCTCCCTTTCCATAAAATCAATAAAAACATACTTTTATTTATTTTTTTTAAAACATACTTTTAAACAATAAAATTATCTCATTGGAGCATAATTTTGGATTTGGACTCTGCCTCTTTCTGAATCAGCGACCTTGGGCACATCACTTCATCTCTCTGTGCCTCAGTTTCCTCATCTGTATAGTGGCAATAAAATTGGTACCCACCTTACAGGTCTGGTGTGAAAGGAACTTGAGGCGGGTGGTGTACCTACAAACATCAATAGTCATTATTGCAGATGAAAGGGGTATTGGTTAGAATGAGAGTTTGGCTTCTGAATTCATGGACACACACACACACCCCACCTCCCACTGAGTCACTGGCCCCTGGGCTCTGGCTCGGTGCACCTTCCCACCTTCCCCAGCCAGGCAGGGTCAGGGTGCCCTCCAGCCTGATGATAGGGCGACACCTGCTGGTGAAACGGTAGACGTGCAGCCAAAGGCTTCACGCTTTTCCTCCAATTCCCTTTGTCAGTTGTCTTTGGACGCTTCAAGCCCAGTGATTCTTGTTTGTTGCTTTTGTTTTGCTTTGTTTTCTTTTATTTTGGCACACGGGTTCTTAGCGAGGAGAAGAGAGAGGAAGGGACCTATGTTGTCCAGATTATTCTGTCACCACCTTTCTAGGTCAAACTATCCCCTCCTTGCCTGAATTAAGGGGCAGCTTCCTCAAGCTTCTGATCCCAGCTCAAGAACTGGAGGAGAGTTTATTTATTTGTTTGTTTGTTGTTTGTTTGTTTATTTTTAAACTATGTTTTTGTTGATTTTTAGGAACAGAGGAAGGGGGAGGAATAGAGAGGTAGAAACATCGATGGGAGAGGAACATCATGGTTTGGCTGCCTCCTACATGTCCCCTACTGAGGATCAAGCCTACGACCAGGGCATGTGCTCTGACCAGTAATCGAACCAGCGACCTCTTGGTTCCTGGGTCGGCGCTAAACCACTGAGCCACACTAGTGGGGCTAGAGGACATTTTAAAAAATATTTATATTTTATTGAGTTTTTACAGAGAGGAAGAGAGAGAGGGATAGAGAATTAGAAACATCAATGAGAGAGAAACATCAATCAGCTGCCTCTTGCACACCCCGTACGGGGGATGTGCCCACAACCAAGGTACATGTCCTTGACCGGAATTGAACCTGGACCTTTGAGTCCGCAGGCTGATGCTCCATCCACTGAGCAAAACCAGCTAGGGCACTTTTTATCTATTTTTTGTTACATCTTTAATGTTGAAAGTATTACATATGTCTCCTTTGTTCCCCCACTGACCCAGTCCCCCACCCCAGGCCTTCACCACCCCATTGTCTGTGCCCATGGGTTATGCATATACATACAAGTTCTTTGGTTGATCTCCTCCCATCCACCCACCCACCCACCCACCCCTGCCTTCCCTCTGAAATTCTGCAGTCTGTTCCATGCTTTTACATCTCTGGTTCTCTTTTGTTCATCAGTTTGTTTTGTTCATTAGATTCCACATATGAGTGAGATCATGTGATACTTGTCTTTCTCTGACTGGCTTATTTCGCTTAGCATGATACTCTCCAGGTCCCTCCATGCTGTCTCAAAGGGTAAGATATCTCTCTCTCTCTCTCTCTCTCTCTCTCTCTCTCTCTCTCACATCTGCATAGTATTCCGTGGTGTAAATGTACCAGTTTTTTTTAATCCTCTCATCTACTGATGGGCCAACCCCCTCCTCTCAGGGGGGGGTTCCAGTCAATCTGCCTGCCCACAGACACAGGAGGAGAAAGCTTTGAGCAGGCCCCTGACTGTTTCCCAGGCTGAGTATCTTCCAGGCCTTGTCTTTAAGGGGTTCCCCTTGGCTTCAGGGGCCTCCTGGGCGCATAGTGGGCTCAGTGGGGAGGAAGCTGGGGCCACAGTCCCTCTGCAGGGTGGCAGGGTGCCCCTGCAGGGTGGCAGGATGCCCCTGGCCTGGGCAAGGTGCCCCCTGCCCAGGGTGGCCTCCTGAGTCAGATAAGGCTGGTTGTCCCCACAGAACAAGATATAGGACTTCATTGGAGGGGTGACAAGGCCCAGGTAAGGACCGGGGACTTGGGGGGGCACAGGGGATGCTGCCAAGGAGAGCTGTTTTCCACTAGCACAGTCAATAACGGAAGTTAGGTGAGCTGTGGGCACGGCCTTCTGACAGTGGGCCAGGTTCCCACCTAGAAGGAAGACGAAGACCAAAGGCTGTGTTAGCACAAGGGATGTGGTTCCGTTCATGCATCTGCTGAACCACGTGTTCATTCATTCCCCGAGCGCGCGCGCGCACACACACACACACACACACACACACACACACACACACACGGCAAGAGCAGATCTCAGGGCCTGGACTTCAGCCGCAGGGAGACCTGACTTCACATCCTGCTTCCCCTGCTCAGCCATCGCCTCCCGGAAGCAGGGACCACTCCCTCGGGGCTTCTCGTCTTCCCTGTGCTCGCGGATGGCCCGGCATCCAGTCTACACGCAGATTCTGGGAGAGCGGGTCTGGGGTGGGGGCTGAGGCCCTCAGGGGAGCACCATGCGGCTCTCTCCCTCCCCGTGTCAGACCAGAACCTCAGAGAGCACCTCCAGTGCCCGGGCCCCTTTGCCCCGAGGATTCCTGCTCTGTGCTTCCCTCCCGACACAGAGCCCAGCACACGGAGGGACAGCTGTGAGCCAGTGTATCCGTGAAGCAGGAGCCGGAGCAGGTGTCTCTGAGGCAAAACCAGGTTCTCTTCAAAAAGCGATGTTTCGAGTTACCCTAATAACACACACGGCCACTCTCTGAACTCTGTGCTCTCGCCACGGCGCAGGCTAACCCGGAGCTTCTGTGCTGCGAGGTTGGTGAATCCCAGAGACAAACGTGAAGTCCATCCCTGGCTTGGCAGTCCTGGCAGCCCCGAGGGAGGATGGCTGTGCTCTGCCCTCGCCTCCCAGCACCTGCGGGGCCAAGGCGGCCTCTGCCACCTCTCACCTGCACTGGAGTCCCGCCCCGTCCCGGGGCCCATGGCTTCGGGGCTGGCCCTCTGGCCCTCGGGGTCTTCTGAGGAGGCCACCGCTGCGGCCACGGCACCTGGTCTGGCCCGGTCGCTGAGCAGAGGCAGGAGGAGCCGGTTTTTTTGGCAGCCTCTTCCCGGATGTAGTTCCCCATCCAAGGACCAGGCCTTCTTTATTTACAGGATCCAGATGGCCTGCTTGATGTCCTGTCCTCCTGGAACCACAGGAACTGGCCCGGGCAGCCGGGGGATCACTCTGATCCACAGGGTTCTGTCCACAAGGTGGTGGTCGGGTGTTTGGGAGGCAGGCCTTCTACCTGACACCGCGTCCTCCGACGGCAACGGCTTCCTGTCTCGGGACAGGCCTCAGACCCTCCTCAGCCAAGGCCCCGGCTTCCCAGGCCTCCGTCCTCACCGCCAGTTTTGCTGTGTTATGTGTTTTCCTACCGAAGCATTTAGGGAATGCTATTTATGGAACATGCCCTTTGTCTGGGGGACCGAGACCAAAAACATTTTTTCTCACAGTTCTGGATACTGGGAAGTCCGAGGTCAAGGCGTCTGCAGGTATGGTTTCTGGGGGAGACCTGCTTACTGGTTTGTAGAAGCTGTCTTTTTTTTTTTTTTTTTTTTTTCTGGGACAAGGGGGCTTTTTGGGGGCCTCTGTTATAAGGCTCCCACCTCATGATCTGATCACCTCCCAAAGACACCCCCCCATACACACACACCTAATATCATCACACTGGGTGGGGGGGCAGGTTCAAAATAGGAATTTGGGGAGGACACGGTCTACGGCATCCTTTAAGTCCAATCAACTGAAAAAGAAAAATACTGAACAAGGAAAATTGATATTGTTTCATTAAATGGAAACAGTGTTACTAGTATGCGTCAGAAGTAACTCCGCTGGTGTGGCTCAGCTGGTTAAGCATCAGCCCACGCGCCAAAGGTCACGGTTTGGATTCTCTGTCAGGGGTCAGGGCACTTGCCTGTTTGCAGGGGGCATGCAGAAGGCAGCCCATTGATGTCTCTCTCCCCCCTCCCTTCCTCTCTCTCAAATCAATTAAAAGCAAAAAAAAAAGAGTACTGGCCAAAACCGGTTTGGCTCAGTGGATAGAGCATTGGCCTACAGACTGAAGGGTCCCAGGTTCGATTCCGGTCAAGGGCATGTACCTTGGTTGCGGGCACATCCCCAGTAGGGGGTGTGCAAGAGGCAGCTGATCAATGACTCTCTCTCATTGAGGTTTCTAACTCTCTATCCCTCTCCCTTCCTCTCTGTATAAAATCAATTAAAAAAAAAAAAAAAGAGTACTGAATTCTGATTCTGACATCGAGGTGTGTTTTCCCTCTCCACTCAACCAAGCAAGTAACTCAGTTCAGACACTAACTCTCTGGAGATAGGACCTGGAGGCAGCGTCGGACCCCACAGGTTACGGGCTACCACCCCCACCCCACTCACCCGACAGGCTGTGCCGAGCCAGTTTGGCTCAGTGGATAGAACGTCAGCTTGAGGAACGAAGGATGCCGGGTATGATTATGGTCAAGGGCACATGCTGGGTCACAGGCCTGATCCCCACAAGGGGGCGGGGCAGGAGGCTGCCGATCCATGATTTTCTCTCATCATTCATGTTTCTTTTCTTTTTTTTTTTTTTTTTTTTTTACAGAGAAGAGGAGAGAGGAATAGAGCGCTAGAAACGTCGATGAGAAAGAAACATCGACCAGCTGCCTCTTGCACATCCCCTACCGGGGATGTACCCGCAACCAAGATACATGTCCTTGACTGGAATCGAACCTGAGACCTTTCAGTCTGTAGACTGACGCTCTACAGCTGAGCCACACCGGTTTCGGCTCATCATTCATGTTTCTATCTCTCTCTCTCCCTCTCTGAAATCAATGAAAAAATATATTTAAAAAAAAAATCCAGGTTGTCATCGAGCTTCTATAGTTTAGAGGTTCCCACAACCCTCTCCTTGGGCTCCATGAATTTGCTAGAGCAAATTGATTCAGAGAAACATGTGACTTCTCAGGTCACCAGTTTATCATTAAAGGTGAGGAATGAGTCAGAAAACAAGATGAAGTCAGTCCAGCTGAGCTGACTGACTGAAAATGGAGTCAAGCTCACAAAACCGGTCCAGACCAAATGGGCTGAAGCATGAGGAATAGATTTAATTTTACTCTAAGGAGCCTGAGGACTTAAACTTTTGAGCTTCCCAGCTGTCCATCAGTACCTGGAGAGAGATATAAACCCTAGTCAGACAACCTGAAGGATCAGGAAAGAATGTTCTCTTGTCCACACCACCAGACACCATGTTGACATAAGAAACGTCCAAACCTATGGAGAAACTGACAACAGATGCACAGGAGCAAGGTCTCAGATGCTCCGGAGAACAACAGTTTTGCAATTTCTTATATGTATTTGAAATTAGGAAGGAAATGAAAGGAAGAATACATGAAGATGGAAGAAAGCAGGGTGGGGTTTGGGTTTCAGAATAGTTAACCAGATTCTGTGCCCTCGCGCGCTCTCTCTCTCTCTCTCTCTCTCTCTCTCTCTCTCTCTCTCTCTCTCTTTAATTTCAGAGAGGGAGAGGGAGAGATAGAAACATCGATGATAAAAGAGAATCATTGATAGGCTGCCTCCTGCACGCCCCACATTGGGGACAGAGCCTGTGAAGTATGGTAGCAAGCATACTTGGGTAAAAATTGCTGTTTAATATATTAATCTTGCTGTGTTGGGTCCTGTGCTCATTCAAAAGTTATTTTGATTTTCTGAACTTATGCATGCTATCCCAATACTCCATTGATGATGGTTTGAATGTCCCATTGATTGTGATCTCACTGGTCATCGAAGCACATTCCTGGGACCCAAGAAAGTTTGATTATTCTAGATTGTCTCAGTAGCTACAGATAGTGTGTTCCTGTGGACTCAGTGGTCCCAGAATCCGGTCAGCACAATTATTCTAAATTGTCAGGTGGTCCGTCCCAGATAAGGTGCTCCTGTTAACTCAGTGATTGGTAGATACTTTAGATAACTAACTTGCTCAGTTTCACTTCTGTAAAATCGAGAAACAGGTTCCTCATTCCAGACCCAAAGATGTAATCGATAGCTTTGTGATTTTCTGCCAGTATAAGCCAGGCGGGGAGAGCTGTTCGGGGCTGCGAGGTCTGGAGCTTTAGCCCCTCATATGCCGCCGGCCTTTAATAAATGACTCCATAATTGGACTTTTTTGAGGCGTCCTTTGTAAGATGGGGTTACACCACAACACCTGCAACCCGGGCATTGCATGTGCCCCCACCAGGAATGAAACCATGATCTTCTGGTTCATAGGTCAATGCTCAGCCACTGAGCCACACCAGCTGTGTGTAAGGGCGCTTGCAGTTTTATTTAAAAGTTGAGTTCCTCTAGATGCCCAGAAACAATGGGCAAATGGGATCGCTTATGGCAAGATAAACCTTTTACTAAAAGGTTATAGGCCTAGGGATTGACTACCCACCATGACCTGCCCGGTTAGGAATTTGTGATCAGACCCACAAGGTGATCTTTTCATCCACATTTATTATCTAGAAAGATCACAGACTTCGGGAAGATCAGCCCCTCACACCAATCCAGAGGCTGAGAAAGCAGAACTGGTTCTTCGGGACACTCTGGGCATTTGCCTCATTGTATTTCTTATTTGCAAATCCCTTGAATAAATCTTTGTCATTCATTTCTAGCCAAAACTTCCTGATTTGGTTTGACAAAGAATATACAGTCACTCGGGACCAGCCAATGAAAGAGATGCAACAGGGTATGTGGGAAGGGAAAACCGGACAACCCAGGGGTCCAGGCTGCCTGTCACTACTAGAGCCGATTACACAGAAACAGGGTTGACGCATACATGAGCGTTTAATCCAGTGCCGCTGGCAGCAGGAGGGAGCAGCGGGTCATCCACAAACATCCGCTCTGTCTTTCTCCATAAGCAAAATCCCAACACCGGGGAGAAGGACAAAGATTACAAGAGAGAGTAGGAATTACAGGCCCGGGAAAGTAGTTGGGGTACAGTCCTGACAGGTTATAAAGCTTGCGGGCTGGGGGAGGGGGCTGCAGAGGGCGGGCACCTCCAGGCACCGGGGACCAGATTACAGGCATTAGGGGCAGGGGGTGGTAAAGGGCGGGTGTCTCCTGGACTCAATTGTTTCAGCCTGCATTCCCTACGACATGAGCTCCCAGGTCCCAGGCGCACAGCTCTCAGCCCAGTGAGAATGGGCTTTCTCTAATCAGAACAATTAGAGCAGGATTTATATTTCTTACTGAGTCCCCAAGATCCTATTTTTTGACCCTAACAAAGGGACGAGGAGCTTTAAAACTCTGAGTGTTCTCCCCAAATCTCCATGTGTTCACCAACTGGATGCTCTCAGAACCCCATTCTTTTGGGTTTTCCTGAAGGAATTATTGATTACATTATTGGCCATTGATTGAACTCCACCCCTAACCCCTCTTTCCTCCCAGAGGAAAATTCCAACTCAGTCATCATTTGATTGGTTGTCCTCCCCCCCCTCAGGTGACCTAGGGGCAAATCCCACTTCATTAACGTAACAAAGATGCCTTCATCTCTTAATTTCTCATTTGGAAATTCTGAGGGTGCTAGGAGCTTGGTGCCGGGAACCTGGACTAAGAACCAAATATATATATTTACTGGCATTGTAAGTCATAACATCACAGGTGTGGACTTGGAGATGGGGAGATGATCCTGTATTATCTGGGTGAGCACAATCTAATCACACTGGCCTTTGAAGCTGAGAGCACTTCCTGGCTGGGTTAGGAAGAGGTGCTGATGGCCCTGGCCAGTGGTGCTCATTCGGTTGAGCCTCATCCTGATGCCGGTTTCTCCCATGGTTGCCAGTCTCATGGGGTCCCTTAGAGGCTAGGGGGTGCGTGCCTATGGGGGAAGGGGAAGGGAAAGGAAGTGGCAGAGGCATGCTCTGTGGAGAGCGCGCTTGGAACTTCGGTTTCAGGGGTTTTAAAGGCTGAGATTTGGGAGCGGCCCGAGGGGAGGATGGAAGGAAATATTCGTCAGCTTCCTGCTGATGGGCCAAAATGAGATTTATTCTCTTAATCTGTCTGCCCTTGGGTGTGGTTGGCAAATGACACTTAATTGGATTTCTGCTATCTGTCTCCGGGAATAAGGTGATTTAAACTGATTACCCCCTGGATGGGAAGGAGAAATACAAACCATTAACTTTTAAGTGTCCTTGGTTTAAGGGAGATAGGATTTAGTAGATAAGGCACAAACTGCTGTTTATCTGTCTCAGTTTCCCCATTCCACTGGTCCCGGAATTTTCTAGCTTCTTACTAGATATTCTAAAACAGAGTTGACCCCGCCCAGAGGAATCGCAGGTTGGATTCCCAGTCCAGGGCACATTTCTGGGTTTCAGGTTCACCACCCCCCCCACTAGTGGCCAGAGCATTGTTAAAATGAAGAATCATGTAACATACACAAGATCAGAAACAGAAAAAAGGAGCCTTTTAGCCAATTTGGCTCCGTGGATAGAGCGTCAGCCTGCGAACTGAAAGGTCCCAGGTTCGATTCCTGTCAAGGGCACATACATGCCTGGGTTGTGGGCTCCATACCCCATGGAGGACTTGCAGGAGGCAGCCAACCCATGATTCTCTCTCATCGTGAATGTTGTTTTTTTCACTATGAATATTTCTATCTCTCCATCTTCCTTCCTCTCTGAAATCAATAAAAATGTATTAAAAAAAAAAAAAAGAAGTGAAAAAAAGGAGAAAGACCGCGAACTGCGAGAACAGAGAAGTCGGTGGCTTGGAGGTGCTGGAAGCTGGAGAGAGGTCACCGTCATCGCAGCCAGGCTGAGGATCTTGAGCGAGAGCGGGTAAGGATGGCCCAGTGGACAGCACCATTCGGCGTCTGTAGCTTTGGAACCGCCCTGAGTTCACACCTGCGCCCCGCCCTCTGCTCCGGGCTCTCCCTCTCCCAAAGGGAGACACACTCTCCGCTCAGGCTGGCGAGAAGGTTTAAGGAGATAACACAGGGCCTGGCACACGGTAAGCGCGGAGCCGGTAAAAGCTGTTGGGGTTGCCAAAACCGGTTTGGCTCAGTGGATAGAGGGTCAGCCTGCGGACTGAAGGGTCCCGGGTTCGATCCCGGTCAAGGGCATGTGCCTTGGCTGCGGGCACATCCCCAGTGGGGGGTGTGCAGGAGGCAGCTGATGTTTCTCTCAGCGATGTTTCTGACTATCCCTCTTTCTTCCTCTCTGTAAAAAATCAATTGAAAAAAAAAAAAAAAAGCTGTTGGGGTCAAGTTTGGGACAGAAAGCCTAGGAAAGGTACAACGGGAACCGCTCCCGACGCTCAAGTTCAGGTCAGCCGCCGGGCAGCCGGGCGCATGCGCAGAACCGCGGGTCCGGCGGGCGCGGTGTTTGCGGCGGAAGTGGCCGCCGGGAAGCCGGCGAGGTCGGTTCCGCCCGGCTCCAACATGGCGGCGCCCTTTGTCTGCCTGGAAGTGCCGTCCCCGGCCTTCTCGCGGTCGTGATGCACCTCCCTCGGCGGCGGGGTCCGGGACATGGCAGGTGAGGGCGCCGGGCGCCGGGCGCCGGGGAGCCCCGCGGTCCGGGCGGGGGCGGCGGCGGCGGGCGCGGCGGCGGGCGGTTGTGTGGGGGAGGGGAGGAGGGGAGGGCGCGGGGTGGCCCGGGAACCGGCCCGAGTGGACCCCGCGGGGCAGGAAGCCGGGGCAGCGGGCGGGGTTTGCCCTGGGGGGAGCGGGCCGGCAGTCCGGGCTGGAGCCGGTCACTCGCCGCCCGGGCCGGTGACACCCCAGCTGGCCGCCTCTCCGCCCCCGCGCGCAGCTGTCACCGCCGGAGCCCGCGCCGCCGCGGGGGGGTGTGCGGTGGCCACGAGGTGGCGGGTGCCGGGGCGGCTCACTTTCTCCGGCTGAGGCAGAGGCACCGGCCGGCCGGGGGTCCGGAGCTTCTGGCAGAGTAGGAGGCGAGACTGCCCCTGCGTACAGTTATCTCATTCGTTCGTTCTTTCACTCATTCATTCATTCATTCGTGCGTTCGTTCCACAGGCGGTGGTTCATCACCCGATGGGTTCTGAAACACGAGAGCTAACGACCCGAGACTGGCATAGTGGTTAGAAGGGAACCGTGGAGCCAGGCAGCTTGGCTTCCGTCTCTGTGTTTGCCAACTGTGTCCTTAAGCAAGTTAGGTTCTTCCTCTCCGACAGGCCGCGTGGCTCCGTGCTTGAGCCTTGACCTATGAACCAGGAGGTCACGGGTTGGATTCAGGGTCAGGGCCCGGGTCTGGGTTGCAGGTGCATTCTCTAGGGAGGGGAATGCAATGGGGGAGGCAGCCCATCTAGGATTCTCTCTCATCGTTGATGTTTCTATCTCTCTGTCCCTCTGAAACCAATACAAATAAAAAAAGACTAAGGAAGCAGGTATGGTCTGCCCTACCGGCGGGCCTTTTAAATCTAGTTATGGAGTTTACATTTTAGTCGTTTAATTATCAGATTTGTGGCCGGGCTGGCTTGGCTCAGTGGTTGAGCGTTGACATATGAACCAGGAGGTCAAAGTTCGATTCCCTGTCAGGGCACATGCCCAGGTTTCGGGCTCAATCCCCAGTGTAGGGTGTGCAGGAGGCAGCCAATCAATGATTCTTTCTCATCATTGAAGTTTCCATCTCTCTTTCCCTCTATCTTCCTATCTAAAATCAATAAAAAAAAAAAAATATATATATATTTAAAAAAGAATCAGATTTGTGGCTATGTGAAGAATGTATTAAAGGGAGTGACCCTGGAGGTCAATTAAGAGTCTGCTAGGCTATTTCAGGTGAGAAGTGACAGTGGCCACAGCAGACCAAAATGACCCAAGTTAACATTTATTGAGCACTTACTTTGTGCCAGACTCTGTGTCCAGTGCTCTGCGTTTGCCTGTTTGATGGATGGATGAAAGGGCAGCTCTTAAGGAAGCAGGTTCCCTTTGGCTTCTCATCACATTTTGCACTTGGGTGTCCTTGATTCAGGTAATGAGTGGGAGGAGGAGAGTCAAGCTGGCGTTTACCCAAACTCAGAAAAGAGTAGCCTGGGCCACTTGGAAATCTGAGGTATGACTGAATTACTCAAGGACAAAACAAAACCAGCATGTCGGTTTGTTTGTCCTCAGGCTCATTGTGATTCAGATCACCCTTTCAAGATAGCTTATTTTTAAAATATATATATTTCTATTGATTTTTTACAGAGAGGAAGGGAGAGGGACAGAGAGTTAGAAACATCGATGAAAGAGAACCAGCTGCCTCCTGCACACTCCCCATGAGGTATGTGCCCGCAACCAAGGCATATGCCCTTGACTGGAATCGAACCTGGGACTATTGAGTCCAAAGGCTGACGCTCTATCCACTGAGCCAAAATGCTAGGGCAAAATAGCCTATTTTTAAAATATGTATTAAGAAGGGAGAGAGAGATAGAAACATCAATGATGAGAGAGAATCACTGTTGCCTCCTGCCCCCACCAGGGATTGACCCCACCTGGGCATGTGCCCTTGACTGGGATCAAACCTGGGACCCTTCAGTCCGCAGGCAGGATGGTCTATCCACTGAGCCAAACCAGCCAGGGCAAGATAGGTTTTTCTTTAAAGTTATACAAACAACAACATCCTAGTTTAGGGGAAATTATTGATATTATTGTTGTTTTACCAACTAAGACCAGCCTCAACATTGGGTAGTGATCAGACCTTGTTTTAATTAGGTACCATCTTAAAACACTCCAGCATAGCATTCCCAAAATATAGTGGCTGAAACAATAGGGAAGTTTATTCCTTGCCCCTTATTTGTCTGAAGTAGGGATTCCAGAGCTGGGGGAGCAGCTCACTCTGTGTTGTGACGTCATCCAGGAGCAGGGTTCCACGGGTCTTGTGGCTCCTTTCTCAAACCTGAGCTTCCATCTCCTGGTCTAAGCTGGTGCTTCAGCTCCTGCTCCCTGCACGCACTCCATTTGGCAGAAAGGACAAGACAGTGGGGAGCTCACACTCGTTCCTTTTATGGTTCTGATGTTTAAAGACACACATTTTGTGAACAACATGTCCCCAAACATAAGCATCTTGTGTACAATGACTCATGACTGTTCCAGTGCTGAGAACCTGCTTGGTCCCCTGTGTGACTAGATTGCTGACTCTGGGTCTTGGGCCCAGCCTGCGGGAAGTCCACTGCATTGGTGAGAGGGCTGGGCATGCTTCCCAGGCCTCCCTCTCCCAGGCAGGCTGACCTGGCGTGGCTAGGTTTATGTTGCTTGTGCCCAGGGAGTCCAGGCTAGATTTTGCAGTTAGCATTTTCTGTGCCTGGCGTGGCGGAGACTGTGCCGGGTGCCAGCGGTGTGGACCTGACGAAGACGGGAACTCTTAGCTGCATGGACAATCATGGTATATGTAAGAAGCACCATATTCAGAAGTGTGGTGCGCAGGGTGACTGCTGGAATGCTCCACTGAGGGGGTGAAGATTTTGTGAACAGCCTGTCTTGGATTGGTAACTGTACAGTCCCCTCAGAGAGAGGCAGCAGGGACTCAGGCATTGGTGTGAATCCCTGCTTCCCTGTTCAGTGGCTGTGTCCTAAGGTCCAGTTCCTTCATCCTTGCTCCTCAGTTTCTTCATCTGTAAAACAGGGATAACAGTCTCTACCTCGGAATTATTTTGAGAGTTATGTGAGGTCAGGCATGTGATTCACAGGGTCTGATGTGCAAGATGCAGGGTGGTCCTAAACCAGAGAAGGCAGTTAGGTTTGCAATGGAAGAAGGCCCAGTCCTGAGGGGAACCAGGTTGCTGGCCTCCCTGGAGGCAGGGGTTAGCCAGGTTGTACAAGGACTGCCCTCCCTGTTTCCTCAGGCGTTCCACCGAGCTTCCTAATTAAAGTGGTCAACCTGGCCCTGGCTGGTGTGGCTCAGTTGGTTGGAGTATCCACAGCAAAAGGTAGCGGTTCAATTCTCAGTCAGGGCACATATCCAGGTTGTGGGTTTGATCCCTGGTCGGGGTATATTCATGAGGTAACTGATTGATGTTTCTCTCTCACATTGATGTTTCTCTCTCTCCCTAAAATCAATTTATTCTTTTTTTTTTTTTTGCTCTTTTTAAAAAAAAAAAAATAAATCTTTATTGTTCATATTGTTACAACAGTTTCTTATTTTTTCCCCCCTCCACCAGGTTCCCACCCCACCCTCTGCCCTTTCCCCACCCCCCATTGTCCTCATCCATAGGTGCACAGTTTATGTTCAGTCTCTTCCCACACCCCCTCTCCTCTTCCCCGAGAATCATCAGTCCACTCCCCTTCCATACCTATGATTCTATTATATTCAACAGTTACTATTGTTCATTAGGTCTTTTAATTCCCTTGGTTTTTAGATTCACTTGTTGATAGTTACATATTTGTTGTTCATAATTTTTATTTTTATTTTCTTCCTCTTCTTAAAGAACCCCTTTTAGCAATTCATATAATTCTGGTTTGGTGGTGATGAACTCCTTTAGCTTTTTTTTATTTGTGAAGCTCTTTATCTGGCCTTGGATTCTGAGTGATAGCTTTGCTGGGTAGAGTATTTTTGGCTGTAGGTTCTTGTTATTCATCACCTTGAATATTTCTTGCCATTCCCATCTGGCCTGCATGGTTTCTGTTGAGAAATCAGCTGACAATCGTATAGGTGCTCCTTTATAGGTAACTACCTGCTTTGTTCTTGCTGCTTTTAATATTCTCTCTTTGTCTTTTGCTCTTGGAATTTTAATTATGATGTGTCTTGGTGTGGTCCTCTTTGGATTCCTTTTGTTTGGGGTTCTGTGCGCTTCCTGGACTTGTAAGTCTAATTCTTTCCCCAGGTGGGGGAAGTTTTCTGTGACTATTTTTTTCAGTATGTTTTCGGTATCTTGCTCTCTCTCATATTCTGGGATCCTCATAATTCTGATGTTGGTTCGCTTGAAGTTGTCCCAGAGGTTTCTTACATTATTTTCAACTTTCTGGATTCTCTTGTCTTCTTGCTTCTGCGGAAAAATGTCCTCTGGCTCTTTATGTTCCAAATCTTTGACTTGATTCTTGCAATCTTCCATTCTGTTTTTAGGACTCTTAGGCTTTTACAGCTCCTCTGGTTTTCTCTTTCCTTCTAGTTGTAGAATTTCCAGTCAGTCAACTTTCCTGTAGTTCTGGATGATGTCCACTTTATATTTTAGTTGTATTTTTTGAAATTGTTGTGTGAGGCTGCAGTTAGGTGTTTACCTATGCCGCCATCTTGGTTTCTCCAATTTATTCTCTTTATGTCTCTGCTTCTATTTTATTCATCAGTTTATTTTGTTCATTAGATTCCACATATGAGTGAGATCATGTGTTACTTAACCTTTCTCTGACTGGCTTATTTCACTTAACATAATACTCTCCAAATAGTAAGAGTTCTTTTTTACAGGTGTATAGTATTCCACTGTAGAAATCTCAAATCCATTTAAGTCCTAGCTGGTTTGGCTCAGTGGATAGAGTCTGTGGACTAAAGGGTTCGATTCTAGTCAAGGACACATGGGGGCGTGAAGGAGGCAGCCAATCAATAAT